ACCCTGTCTCTCTTCTGCGTTGCCCAGATCACAGAAAAGCTAAAACCACTCAGTGTGAGTACAGATATGCCTGTGCCACCAAGGTGTATTTTTCAAGACGCTTCTTTGGGAAGGTCGTGCCACTCTGGACAACTGCCCACCGTGACTGAGGGAGCTGGTGGAAGAGCTCACCAAGCCAATGTCAATAATTTATAGAAGTCCTGGATAACTGGGGAGGTCCCAGGTGACAGGAAGCTAGCAAATATGACAACTATCTACAAGGGCTGGAAGGAAGATCCTGGAAACTACAGGCCTGTAACCCTAATGGCTCTCCCCACACCAGCCATGGGGGCCTGCACTGCGTGCAACGTCAAGGCTGAGAACATCATCCTTGACCTGGCCACCAGTGAGGTGAAGCTAATCACCTTCAGGGGCAGCACAAATCTAAAGGACATGCTATGCACTTAGTTTTCAGGTGAGCCCACACTGAGGCCTGGTTGGGCACAAAAGGGCAGCCTTTGCTGGGGTGGGAATAATTCTTCAAGTTGCTTTTTTCATGGAGGGTGGGTGAGGATGGATTTTGAAGAATGGGAGCCAGCTGGGACTAATGGGGGGGGAACCAGCCCAACAATAACAATCTGTGGAGGGTAGCAAAGGCATGTTTGCAAAACCTTTGTGCTGGCAACTTTCATTTGCAGGCATGGAAGGGCTTGTGATGCCCTACTCTGCTCTTCTGCCTTGGCCTATAATTTTTTTTCTTGACCAGTGCAGGAGTGGGGGCAGATAAAAGGCAGTGTTCTCCCTCCTCCTGCATGGGCATTTTCCTTGCATAAGGTTGGGGCTTCTTGGGGTTCACTCTGCCCTCTTTCAGCATCAGGGGCTTTCTTTTACAACCTAAAGTTTGTCAACAAGAGTCAGGTGCTGGCAAGAAGGCAGCAGAACACACTGCACTGCGTTCCACCAGTGCAGTCCCCACATCCTCAGGGATGCCAGGCAAGGGCAGTGTGCACCTGATGAGCTCCATCTGTATGTCACAGGAAAGCAGGTGTACAACATGCCTGAGGGGAGGATAATCTTCCTCTGCTACCATGGACATCCAGTGATGATCTGGTCCCTGGGCATTCTGCTCTGTGACATGGTCTGCAGGTTCCATCCCTTAAACAGAGATGAGGACACTATTCTGGGCCATTATCTTCTTCCTGCCATGGTGTCTTGAGCTGGTACCTGGTTTGCATCACAGAAGGAATAACAGTGTTGGGAGATTACAGGTGGTATACGAGCATCCTGTTCTTGTAGCTACAGAGGAGACTGATTTCCTATGGTTAGGTGGAGGAGCTGGCACACATCCTACCATCCTGCTCTCCAAAACAGAGATTGGAAGGATTGGGCACAGCCTGGACACTGCAAACCCTTGAAAAGAGGGGACCATTGTCCAGCAGCTTTTTGACTGCTCTCCCCAGAGTGCCAGCACCTTGCCAAATGGTGCTAGGACAGGCCATCATTAACCTTATCAACCATTCTTGGCTGCAGGACATTCACCTACTCCAAGAGATGCCAAAGATCCATCCCTCTGCACAGTAGGATTCAGCAAGTAACAGCTCTACACATCTCATGGCATTAAGAAGCCAAGAAAATCACTCTTTTTCTGCAAGTGTAGCACAGAGTAGGGATCACAGCTGATGAGATACTTCTGCTAGTCCTGGGGAAAGTTGCAGAAGTGGCTAAGCACTCTCCATGGTACTTGAGAATGGCAGTCCAGTGAAGTTTCCATGGACCAGAAAAGGGGAAGCATCCCCACTGCAGATCCCTGACTTCATGGTCTTCCTGCAACCTGGCATTTTGTGGTACAACCATCCTTGGCTTGGCCACCAGCAGGGCAAAGTTGATTGACTGTGGTTGCAGCACCTTCCTTGAGGACAGTCTACACCCAGTTAAAATCAAAGTCAAGTCTACACCTAGTGAGAGGGGGAATGCTCCTGGTCCCAGGCATTGCATAGTCCAGCCTGGCTGGGCACTGGAGGTTCTCTGCTTTGCTGTGGTGCAGCAGGATTAATTTTTCAGCCAGTTGCTAGGGTGTTTTTTTGCAGGGGAGGGCATGAGTGTTCTGAAAGGGGAGATAGTTCCTAGCCTTGCTGACAGCTTTCACCACTGACCCTGGCATGGGCTGGGAGGAGCCTGACAAAAACCTCTACCCCTGGGGGTAGCAGAGGCAGGAGTTCTGAATCCATGCACCAGCAGGTTTGCTTTGCAGGCCCTTGCGGAGGGGCTGGGAAAGGCAAAGTTTTTTCCCTGCCTGTGGGGAGGTTTATTCCGTGAAGATAATGGTTCAGTCTTCCTCAGGCCTGTGACACAGTGATAACATTTTACCTTGCAAGTGTTCCTGGTTTTTGGCTTTAATTTACTTTCATGCATTTGTTATTTGTTTTCTGAAGGAAGATTCTAGCTGGTGCCTGGACTGCATAGGAAAGTGTTGTGACTGTCTGCAGAATGGATTCACTGCCAGTGCCACCCTGGCAGGTACACCTCCTACAAGACAGATGAGGACAGCATTTGGGATCAGCTTCTCTTCCAGCAGCAGGTCTCTTAAGGTGGGTACCTGGCCTCACTGCATGGGTAGCATAGTGGGTAGTAGAAGACAGCAATGGGCACACATGCTTCCCCTCACACTTGCAGGTGTGAGGAGGTTGATCTCCGGGTTAACTGGAGGAGGTGTCACTAGTCCTGCCATCCTGTCCTCTTTTAGAATGGAGAACTGATTGGTAGGTTTGGGTGCCGTTATGAGCACAGCCACTAACACGACTGGGCACTACAAATGGGGAAGGCTGGACAGGAGCCTTCTCCAACTGACAATTTTCTGGTTTCTCTCTCCAAAGAGCCAGTACCTCATCACAGCAAAACAGCATCACTCAGCTTATCAGTTTGGTGGTGGTAATGTTTATTTGCTGTCAAAAATAAATTTTTTTGTAAGCAGAGTATTTCTTTCATCCTTTTCCAAGCTTTTTATCTCCTTCCTCTAGGATAATTTTTTGTGTCCTTTACACACAAAAAAAAAATTGTGCCTTTATTGGAATTGCATGGGGGTTAAGCAACCAAAAATTATTTATTTTTTTAATTTTTAAGCATCAAAAACTGAAACAACAGCTCCTGTTGTTTCAAACTGGAGAGGCTACTTCACTGCCTGTAACTGCCACTCAAGCACATACCTTTCTGGTGCTGTCTGTTCCCTAATAACACACTCACCAAATCTTTCACCAAGCCCTAAGAGCCCTCCACAGACCAAACAAAACCACATAAACTTGAGGGAAGGATAAACCATGCTGGGTGTTAAAAAAAGATGCCCTCAATAAACCAAAAAATGGTATTATGCAATGTTAGTTATCTTTATGCCTACCTTGTACTAACCTGATGCCTTTTTGTGACCAATAATTTGGTATAACCCTACATCCAAGAGCCACTAAAAATTGTCCCTGTCACCTTGCAACCACCAATAAAATTACCTGAGTAATATAATTAAACACAACCTACCCTTTATTCCTCAACCACACCCTGGGTGAACTGACCAAATATAGTAACTTCTTCCATAAGCTTTTCAAATTACACCTAATGCTTGTATTTTATTTGGCAAACAAGCAATGTGTGGTCTCTAGCAATACTGGTACCATCATATTCTATTCATTTGCTCATCACAGATACACGGTTCTCCAGTTCTGATTAAATAAATTGTGCTTTGGTAAAAATAAATTTTAAAAAGCTTTCCATATTGCTATCCAATTGTCACTCATAATTATTTACAATTTTTTTCATGCCTATACTGTATCAAGACAAAATAATAATGCCTTTTTTTTCTCCCTTCTTACTGCTTTTCCTGGTACCTCCCCCATTGGGACTCTTGTTCTTGATATTTTGTTGAATTTGTTTTAATTTTCTGGTAGCAAGAACTTGGGAATCTCTTCAATTAATATGCCCATGCTAACAGAACTGTTAATAATTTTTCTTTAAAAAAACTACTAGAAATCTTGATTTTAAGAAAGGATGTACTGATCCTTTACCTCTACCCCAGAAAAAGTTCTTATCTGACTCTCACAGTTTCATATTGAAGCTGCAGTTTTCCCTGTGCCATAAAATGTCCAGCTTCAATGGGGTGGTTTACAGGAAGTGAATGAAAAGTGAATGAACCAAATAAGGTTTTAGCTGAAAATCTTCATAGTATCCATTTATCTTCAAAATACCTATGATTAAGAACTAATCAAGAGTTAAAGAGTTTCTACTGAATAAGTACACAGCAAAAAGGAAAGAGTTAACAGCACAGACAATGATTTATGTGATCACCAAAGTGTATCTCCTATTTAATAAACAGGCCTAAGTAGACCTGCTATTTACAAGGTATCTCAACAGGGAAGGAATTTTATTTTCCATGTCCAAGAGACATCCAGAGACAAAAAGCTTCAGTTTTGAATTGTCAAGATGGCTGTTCTTTGAAAACTGCTCTGGTGAAGCAGGGGTACTAGCTCAGGATTGCAAAGATCCTGAAACCTGTCTTGCTTTGAGAAATACTCCCAGAAGAGTAGCAATTTCAAAGCAGAAAATACCTGCTACAAGTCCAAAAGAATGATTCTTCTCAGACCAAGGCTCCTTCTGGCCTCATGAAAAGTTCAACACGGGGGCAGTGCGACTTCAAACACTTCAGAATTCCCACTGCAAGTACTACTGATGTCCTACTTGTGATACGCCAGCTCAAAGAGTCAAAGTTCTTAACAGTATTCACTGTCTACAGGGAGTATGCCACAGACAAAAAACCACACCATTCCAGAAAATACCTTCTTCCTTGTGCAGCTCCTCTGCTCCATGGCAGTACTGTCAAACAGTAGTAACTAGTAACTAGTTTAAGAAAAAAAAAATTCAAACTCACTCTTTCAAAGGCAGAAAGATACTTGTTAAGATGAAGATCAGATCTTACTATTCCACAGATTTTGCTCTGTCCTGTTAGCATCTCCATATTCAAAAGAAAACACAACATCCAGTTTTGGTCAGTAATGTGTCCATTTTAATAAACTCCTTAGCCACATTTCTCACCCCCTTCTTCCCCGCCATAAAATTTCAATTCACACTTAAGCAGATGACACAATTTGATGGCGTACAACCTCAGTTTTTAAATTTCTGCTCTTAATGCTAAGAGTATCAGGGGCTAGTATTTGCCAAAATTACATAGAAGTCAGATGTGCCCATGCAAAAGAAGCCGATCTTTATATACAGTCCCTATTTTTTCTTATAAATTTAAATATTTTAAAAAATGTATTTTCAAAATGTATAAAGTTTAGGGAATACCCCAAATGTATCTTAAAATAAAATGCTTTCTGGTTCCAAAGGTTATTTCAACAATGAAGACCAAATTTCACCAGATAAAAGGCACTTGTGCTGTGTGATGTCTTAGGCAAGTATATGTTAGTTTCATAACAGTGTCTTGAATTCATGCAGCTGTCTCTGAGCATCAAGCCTCATTAAAGCAGCCAAAAGAGATAGTGAGTAAACTTGATTCCACAGTAGTAAAAACATAGAGCATTGTGCACTGTCTTTGACTCTAGAATCAAACACTACTGAAAAACTGCTGTCATTCACATGGGAATTCAAACTACATTTCATTCTCTCATAATTTACAAAAAAGTATGTCATTTAATTATGAAACTAAACCACCAGTGAACAGCTCAGTGTTCAAATAGTTTGTGCCACTGAAAGTCTGTATTTATAAACAAGCTAGGGACTAGTTATTCAAGGAGCAGTGCATTGCATTTTCAATTTCCATTTTACTGTTGAGATAAAAGCGCAGTCCTATTTGCCTTCATCTTCTCCAGCCTTTTCATTAAATGGCTATTGGTCATCTCCATTTCTTCTATCTTATCCAGTGCTGTTCTTAACTATAAAATGAAAAAAAGTTATTATCAGTTTAGTTTATTTGGACTTTGTGCTGTTCTCAAGCTGGATAAGAGGAATAAAAGTATTATGTTTTGTAAGAGTACCACAGAAGTTAAGATATGACTTCCATTATTGCAGGCAGATGAAACAGAATTAAACTGTTAAAAACAATTGTGAAGCAACTGAAACATGAAGTGTGTTCATTCTAAAAGAATTAGGTGCCTGTAACCTCCCATTACATTAAACCAATTACCTAGAACAAGGTAAACTAATCTCCACCATTATTACTTGCATACCGATACGTATTCCCATCACAGGTAGCAGCTATCATGCTAGTGATGCAGCATCTCTTAAGCAAAAATGACCAACAGCACAGTTAAATGCAGCTTCTTCCCAGAATCCTGTGAGATCCAAGCTGGAAAATTCCCAGGCTGTCACTTGACATAGGAACCATTCATCTCTCTGGCAATACTTTGTAGGACTACTTTAAAATATTACAAGTTATCACATTTCGAAAAAAAAACCACTTAGATGATTCCTTTCAAGGAAGTACAGCATTGAATCGTAGTTAGCATTACTTTAACATGTCACAGATGTCTTCTGAATGTCATATTGAGACTTGAAGGTCATATTAAAAAACAATTAAAAGATGTATTCAAAGATTACAAAAAAAGAGAGCTTGGAGGTAAAAGACAGCAGCTTAAGACAGAAAGGAACATACAGCTGGAAAGGAAACCAACTCAGTTACCTCTCGCTGAAGCTTCCTTTTATCAGCTTTGAGTTCATCTTCTACTTTTTCTGCATTTTCTGCTGCATTTTTATACCTTGCAACCTGTCCCTCAAGTCGTCCAATCTGTAAACCCAAACAAGACAAAAGCAACATACTCAGGTGTTCCACCTGGAGTTCACCTGCCATCAGCTGCTCTTCCAAGGACACAGCTGAGAAGACACAGAAGGTTTAAGAACTAAGCAGAGAGAGAAGAACTGGAATACAAAAACTCAAGACTTGGGAAACACATGGGATTAAAAACTAAAGTGGAAAACTGAAAAGCAGAAACTGCATGAAAAGATGCAAAGTAGAAAGCAGACTGTGAACTCTTATCAGGACATGATGAAAGAGGTCTTGAGCCCAAGCACAGAGTTCAGCAGTAAGGAGAGGACTTGAGACAAATCCTGATGGCAACCTGCAGATGCTAAAGCCCACTGGCTGGATTGTTCTATGTACAGCTCCCTGCTACCCCTAAATCCACATGATAGGCTACTAGACTGAATCTGTGCAAAAGAGAAAAGATACGCATCTGTGATTTAAATTACAACCTTTCATTTAATTTTTTAGGTAATAAGCTGTAATTAAGTTCCTAAAATACAAAAGTATGGCAGATTATAAAGAACTGAAGCTACTAGTTCAAGAAAACCAATTCATGTAACTTAATGACTCATAAGGAAGTTGTACTGTGGAAGGTACAAAATTTACTCTCTGCAGTTACACATCTACAAAAACAATCACACTTTGTAAGTCAATAACATGGTTTTATAGCTCAGCACTCTAAGATTTTCTCTTATGGTTAAGGCTGTGCACAGGTATTTAACTGTAGTGCACAGGTATTTAATTGTAGGAAATATGAAAAAATTTGGTGTCATTCTATGTAAACTAAATACCAAACAGTAAATCAAATTATGAAATATGCTTTCATAGTTTTTGTTGAAAAAAGTATTGCAAAAGTGTGCAGTGTAATAACAAACATGATAAAAGACACTTACATTTTGTTCTAAAGTAGTTATATCTTGTTCAGCTTTTGAAAGCTTGAATTTGTATTCACTAATTTGTCTGTTGGCATCTCCTAGACAAAAATTGACATCAATATGTTAGTCAAAGCAACAACTCTCTTAAGTAGCAGTTCCCCTTTTAATTAAAATTAATTAAAAAGACCATTTTACTGAGAAGCCCATACCCAAGATCACAAAGAGGTAAATGTTCTTTCAGCAATCTAAAAGAGTATGGAAAGGAAATAATTTTCTTTTATTTAGAGAAAACAGCTACAGTCTCTATAAAGTGTGCATTAAATCTCAGGCCACAATTGAGATACACACCTTTTAAAACACATTTAGATCAGCAAACTAATTGCTTAGAGATCAACATAATAATCAACACACACTGCAAAATGCCAGACCACAATAAGCATTGAGCAGCATTCAGCTTAAACATCTGTAATAATATTTGAATAAGGAGCACAAGGCTTGAACCTGACTGACAAACTCTAAGGAACTTTGCAAATTATTTTGGTGTTACATTTGAGCCCTCACATTGCCAGTGCTTTGTTCATGTTCATTAACACAAGCATACTAAATGACAGTCTGTCTAACAAGTTTTCAGCTGAATAGCTTGCTTGAAATGAAAAGCATCTTATGCTTCTATGAAGCAACACTAAATATTAAGGTAAATAAATTTTTATGTTTTGCTTCGGAACAGAAGTCTTCTAGATTAGGTTTCTATATCAAAGATTGATTGAACAAAATCATCCCATAGAATATATATTTTAAAAAATCTTATCTGAAATTCTATTGTTTAAAAATTATACTCAAGTAGTGGCACCCACTCTAGGCAAGGTTATCAACTGAAAAATAACCAGAATGCTGTTCTTCAACACTGAAAGAGGGAGATTTTTAAGGTACTCTGCAGTGAGAATTCCATGCAAGGAATGGAATATATATATGTGTATATATATATATATATATATATATATTCCATATATACCAACAAAAAACCTATCTGCTCAACAATATAGTCACTCACAATACAACTAGTGCACAGCAAGAGTAGCTGGAAGTCCTGTCTGCAAGAATAACTTTGAACAGTAACCATACACCTACTTTGCATTTCAATTAGCTGCAAGTCAGAGCCATTCTCCAAGTCTATTGTATCTGGATTCATGCTATCACTTTTAGAGTATTTCTGTCGTTCTTCTTCTAACTGCATCTTCAGTTTTCTAACCTGAAAAAGGAAGTGTTTCTTTATGAAAAAAAGACTCCCAGAAGCCAGAAGTTCAGCAGCTGTGTATCTAAATGTTCAATGGTAAAAAGGCATCTCATCTACTGAGATGCCACTGGCTGAGAAGGTTCTGTAAACAAGAATTGCAGAGAGATGCAGGGGAGTCAGTCCCTGAGGTTTGTGGCTGTAGACACCCATTCCCATCACTGGGCAAGTGCCCTCTGCATGTCAATGTACAACCCAAACCCACCAGTTTGGTCAGTACTGCAGGGATATCTGTACAGTGCAGGGGCACCTTATAACTAACACAGCTCACTTTTTTCAGAAGAGGAGATGGCATTAAACTCCATTTATGGATTTCTTCTACTGTGTATGTTTCCCACTCCAAACACACACGAAGATATTGACCACTATCCTAGAGAATTTACAGACAATAATCCATGGCTTTTTTAGGGTGTCCTTTCTCATACTTCACCTGGAAACAATAGTCCTAGGCCAGCCTGTAGTGCACATTAGTCTTTAATAGTTCCATTTCATGCTACAGCAGCTGTCTCTCAGTTTTTCCAATAGTCAGAGAACATAGATTTCTCAGCTATGTGCCCTGTGTATGAACATTATGAAAGAAGTAGGGGCTACTTTTTGGACACTCTTATTAAAATATTGTTCTGCAGATTAGCAGTATGTGAGTTAACTTGCAAACTCCCCATTCATTATACAAATCAAATATATGATCAGTGGTTTTTAAATTATACAGTGATAAATGTGTGCTTACATATTTTTATATATTCAATACTATAATTTACTGGCAGTCCAAAAAAGTATCTGTACTATAATTAAGGTTCATTCACAGCAAACCCAAACAACAATGCTTTAAATTTGCAATGTCTTCAACTAAAAGAACAAAAACTGTAGAATTCTTAACAATTGCTCAATGCCTGTATGTTTGCTTGAGTCCTTTCTTCTCAAAACAAAGCTGTATTTAAACACTATTATTTTTAATATTAATTTTCTCTCTGAGTTACCAAAATGATCAATGAAATAGCATCACTCAGCAATTTTGAAGAAAATGCAACTTGAGCTTATGAGAGTGTAGTTGTACTGACTTTAATATTTATGCATAAGACAGTTACACAGATAAAAGAAAAGAAAATAAAAGAAAGAGCTTTAAGGATATGCACTAATAGTAAAGTCAGGAACAAGTTAAATTTCAGTTAACCAGCTACTGAAATGAAGTTTATTTACCAACCAAGATCAAAGTTCCATGGATAAGAACAATAGCAAGAGGAACTGCTAATTCCAGACAGTCACTGAGGTGAAAACTTTAATATTTCATTTTGCTTTAGTGCTTACGTATCTGATTAAGCACTTTTGTGCTTAACATTTGTTTATTGCACATATATATATATATGCTATACATATATATAGCAAATATATATATATATATATATATATATATATATATATATATGTATATATATATATATGTATATGTAGTCTGTAAAATGATACACAAAGGTGAACTTATTTTACCTGGGACAGTAATTCCTCCTTTTCTCCAGCCAGTTTTCGTAGCCTGATATCTAAAACAAAAGAACCGAATTAAAAATCAGAGAAATCTGTAACTAAGGATATGTTTTTCATAAATTTTTTTTCCATTCCAAATGAAATGCTCATCAAAGCTAACAGCAACTAGGACAACTTTGATATCTCACTAATAACACAACAACCTTCAGTTAATAGCAGAAAAAAGGGAAAAATACTTTATTCACACTGTTTATTAGTATAACAATTCTAAAAACAAGACCTCAGAGTTTATCAAAAGAGCAAAAGAGTTTAGCAAATATCTCTACTTAGTCAAAAGATCAGTAATGACTACAAGCCATTACTACAGTCAAGCAACACTGTGCTAAGACTAGAGCAGCTCCCTTAGAAATTGTAACTTTGACAGAAATGAAGCATAGTAATATCTGTATTCCCCTGTGAGGGAGCCACAGCAGAAGTATGTATCAAGTGTAATTGATGTCAATACAAAAATATGTAGTATAATTCAATTATATAGATTCAATATATATATAATTATACAAGTACAAGTATAATTCAATTATATAGAGATTATTTTTCTACATGTTAATAGAGTTTTACAGTGGGTTGAACTTGCATACAATAACTTGCTCAACCTAAAGATAAAAGCAAGTTAAAATGACTTAATCCCAAAACCCCCAATTAGTGTGTCTGTTGTCTCTGTCATTTTTTGAATGCTTTTAAAACTTCTTTTTCTAATGAATGTGATGGAAGACTGCACTTGATGTACTTTCATTGATTACGTATACTTCTAAAGAATTATTTTAATGAAACACAATGGAAAACATAGTAATCCAAAAAATGACGCTTTAAAGCAAGATGTTTTCTGTCAGTATTAAAACAGGAACTGGACCAAGAGAACTAATCAGTTTCAAACATCTAAGCACATACTGTTTTTTCTTACTCAAAAGATACATCTGACTACATGACTACTCAGAACAAACAAAAAATTAAAATCAGTTCTGAAAGCTGTGTAAGCACATATTCCAGAAGCATCACAGGTGCTTGCATATGCAAATGTAAGTCACACCCACTGTGAATGAGAGGAAACAAAGCCTATATAAAAAACTCTATAAAGTGTGCTAGGATACTTTTACCTAGTGGTCCTTCTCCTGCAGATTCCAAGACTTGAGCTGCTTCTTGTGATACAACTGTTATTGTACCAACCACTGATTCATGGTTTAGATCCCCATTTGGTGTGCCATCTGGAATTATAACTAATCCATGTTTCTAAAAAAAACAAAACAAAAAATAAACTAGTCATACTACAGAAGTGCTAAAATAGAAATCAACAGGTAAGTTTTTAAAGAGCTTTTCAAATTCATTGAAACAATTACAATGATATGGACCATTTGTCCTACCCTAAGGTCAGGTTTTCAGAGTGCACAAGAATTCTTCCTCCTTTTTATTGATGTTGATTTCATGTCCCATTTCTGGATTTGTTACTGTAAATAACTACTACCAACATACCTGTCCTCTCTTCATTGTTTCCTTCAGGTCAGCCAACTCCTCTCTGAGCTCATCTCGCTCATTCTTAATGCAGTCAAAGTAATCTTTCTGTCTTTCTAGGGCCTGGACTCAGGCAGATAGCAAGAAAAAGAATGGCACAGAGAAAAAGCATATGACAGACAGCAGAAAGATTTTCTACAAGTAAATACAAATAGCTCAATACAGGTAAAGAAATTAAAAGTGATTTTTAAATATGTAGTAATATACATCTCAGATAACTGCCTTCTACAAGTTGCATATCTAACTTCATGTTGCACTTGTTATTACTTTTTTTCTTAGATTTTTCGAGAGTTTTTTTTTAATCCAGCAAATTCTATTTTTTAGGAAATTTTGATAAACTAAATTGAGTACCAAAAGAGTAAGTGATTCTTCTCATACAGGCACTCTGCGGCAAGAAATAAAATTTGCTGAAATGCAAATGGCAAAGATCCTAAAACAGTACATCTATTGAACTAATTTCTCTGCCTTTTATAAGGTACAGAAGTAGAAATCATACATCATGGAAGACCTTGAATGTATCCACTCATGAATACTAGTTTATTTACTAGTTGCTTAAGGGTAACAACACCATTTACTAAACCGAAAGCAATTAGTTTTAGAGAGAAACAAAAAAAGCAGCAAACACTAGTAGCACTATTTTAGCACAAAAAAGTACAGCAGCTAGAAGTGCAACATGGGTGTAGATAGGTTTGCCTAGCTAAGCTGGAGAGGTTACCTGGTAGTTAGTTGGACACTTCTACTTGACTGGGCAGCATACAATACTGCATGCATTAAAAATAATCCTCACCATACAGCAAGTGCCAAAGTATACACACATTTTGGCCAAGAAAATAATCCAACTAAACCTCATCCTATACATGAATGTGTAGGAATGGACTGATACCATGACAGAAATGAAGGTGTATACATTTGTACTGTACTTGCCTCATGTAACTTCAATATACTGAATTTTAATAACTATCTAGAATCTGTATACTAGAGCAATATTCTAAAGCATTACTCAGTTTCAACAGAAAATTTTGTCAAGTGCTGTTACACTTGATTTAATTATATGTAAATGTAACATATAAAATAAAGGCAATTCAACATGTGTGAAAACAGTAGCTGACATCTTAATTTAAAAATCTGTAAATGTCCTTTTATTTCCTAGCACACACTAGATCTCTAACTACTTTACAAATAGCATGAAGAACCTTAATCATTACATAATTTTGTGCTCTACTTAAAAGACACATGCATCTTTTTAATTTTTGAAGAACAGTGGAAGAGATGGAAGGGGAAGTAAGCTCACCACTTGAGAGAATGGACACAACAGCCCAGAATCATAGACACAGATTGTGTGTACTTGACAGTGACCTGTGATGATGCTGACCTTCCCCAAACATATTTTCTATCCTTACCCCCTAATAATACAAGTGTTGGAAATCAGAAAATTCTGATGGGGGAGGAAGTGAAACTGATACTATGTATTTCCACTTATGTAGATCTAAGTAATCGTTATTCAAAACTAGTAAAATTCTTAGTGTTTGTACACTGAAGGTTTAATTTAATATGACATGGATTTTGCACAAAATCTACCTCTGCAATTCTTCCGTTGGAGCAGGAAACAGAAATCAGGACAACAAAGTTCTGCAGACAGATTTTACCATACTTATATGAGCAAAATCTGATAATATGCCAGAATCCAGAGATATTTGGAATCCTTTTTTCTAAATATTCCAAAAGCCTTCATAACTTTTATACCAAACTCAAGAGTTGCCATTACTAAATGAAAATTTGGAGCTACTAAACAGTAGAATAACTGTGTATTTCAGGAATATAACACAACGCTGTAACTCAGTGTCCTCAAACTGATCTAATTTAGGATCAAATATAACCACAAATTTCAAGCACTGTAGAAACAGGACAACATATGAAGGCAGGTGTAAAACAAACTTGTGCTATTTTGTTCTGTTTGCCTCCCTTTCTTTTTCTGAAATGGCTAAAATGTCTTATATACATTGTAAAATTTGGTTACAATTTTAGTTATAAACTACACTGTGAAGCTTCGCAGTGACATCTAAAGCTGGAATAACATAAAAATTAGCAGTAGGAGGGAGAAAGGTTCAAAAACTGTGAGCTAAGAAAAGTATGTAAATATTTAGAGATATCAGAAAGAAAAGAGCAGCATTTTTACATTTTCTTCTCTAAGAGAGTTCAATTCTGAGAATTAAAAAAAACCCCAAAAACTAACTAGAAAAATAACCAGTTATGGTGTTTACAAGAAGACAAACTGGCAGGGCAATTTTGGCTAAAGTAAAATATGTCTATCTTTTTGTCATTCTGGCTGGCAGGTATATTTGAATATTGGATATACTCGTACTGATTCTGGCAATGTATTTCAAAGAGCACAAAAATATTGCACAAATTGAGACAGTCCAATATACAAATGTGAGAAATAAGTATGGAAAGGATAGGGTAAATTAAAGATAAAAAGCCTTCAGAAGAATGTTCAGAAAACTTTAGAATGTTGAATTTTTTTATGATGGAAGAGAAAGACTGAAACATGAAAAAAAGTAAGACAGGATAGTTTTTGAACTGGCCACCACCAGTTAAAAGGCAGCTTTTCAAGGTCACTTGAACTCCAGCAAATAAAACAATTTTCGAAGAAATCTACATATATTGAAATATGGTATAAAGTTCAGGTAGAGAGAAATGACCCCTGAGCTGTCAAGAGGCAGACAATGTCTTTTTAAAGGCTTTCCAATTAACTCTCTATTGCCGCCAGGCAATCTACTTGTGTCCCAGAACAGCCACAAGTTCAGAGACATGTAGTCATCACCAGTGACTCCTTTCTGGGACTTCTACCTGCCCAGAAGCAAAGCTGACAAACCGTGCCTGACCTACATTAGCTGCATAGTATCAGCACAGTTCTTTCTGTACCACTCTCCTTCCTACACAGGAACCTTACGGATGCTCCTCAAAAGGTCACCCACAACCATTGTTTCAATTACGATTCTCAATACCCAAAGTATTTAATGTGCCATATCAGAAAACCAGCTTGGTTCAGTGTTGCATCCAAGCTAACCAATTATACAAAGATCAGAAGTGCAATACAGGAATGCGCAAGTTGGTTGTAGAAGTCAATTCAAGATCATATCTTTTACCACCAGGCATGCCATCAAAATTTTTGCAAAAAAATTGTAAATTTGTATGTGTAATAGTTCATGTTACAAATTTAATTAGTACTACTTATCATTATTCAAGTTAAGTGTGTCTCATTTTCTGAAGAAGAGAAAGACTGCAAAACATTTTATTCATGTAAGTTGGGAGTGGCCTTAAGTTCTTTGAAGTACACAGAATTCCTTGGGATGTAGAGGGCATCCATCTACTTCTAAATTTAAAAAAATAGCTTTCCTCCCATATTTCATTCATACCCCTATTTTTTTATCTTTCCAATTAACTGTCTCCTGGAGATCAAACACTTCTTTGGTTATGAAGTCTATATTCTCCTGCATACGTTGATTCGCCTGTGGTAAATAAGATGAGGGAAGAATAAAAGAGGAAAGAGAAGTAAGGAAATGGAAAAAAAATCCAAACATTAAAATAGATAAAGGAAACTAAGTAATAAAAGTCAACCAAAGAGTTTATGAGCATGAAATTACAGAAACAGTGTGCAGTTTAATGTAATATATTTCTCATTCATTCATGCAAGAGAATGGTATTTTATCCTATTCAATCACTGTTGTTGGGAAAACTTACAGCAGCTAGAGTTACTTTTCTTTAGTGACTGTTCCCACTGCAGTATGTGGATCAAAACAATTTCCCTGCTGTACTTTCCAGATACCTTCAAGTCCCCTTTGGATCCGAATATTACTGTTAACAATTGGTTTGATTAATTTTTTACAAAATAAAATAATCTTCTTGAAAGTATAAAGAAGGGAGTTAGAATCAAACATCCAGGAAGCAAAAGACAATTGCTGACTGCTTTCTGGTACTATATGAATACGTATCAAGTGTAGTCCTACTTTTTTAGCTGACTATCATTGCATTTTGTTCCTTCCCCTGAAAACATAATTAAATGCTTAGCTATGAAGATTACTTAAAAATTTTAAGACCTAGAGACAATTTTTTTCCTTCTTAAGAGTGAACTTGATTTTACATCTGGGAACAGAAGACAATGTCCTTCTGCAAAGAGCTACATGGCTTCAGCTAGATTTTCTGTTAGTGTTAATAGATGGGAAAAAGACACAATAGGTGGTAAATACAGGTCAAACCTTCAAAGGGACTGAATGTATTTGTGACTATTTGACACATGCTATATTCTACCAAAGTAAAAACTCCAGAAAAATCTACTGCATAGTCTTAGTTCATATACTCAAACCCCACCAAAACCCCAAACAAGAACATGCAAAGCTGTTCTTTAATTCTCAGTGCAGTCAAAGATAACAGAGCAAGCAACAGAGCCACAACAGAAATTTTTAGGGCTTTTGCTTGTCAGCATTTATGCTAACTCAAAATGCTGATACTTAGGATAATCTTAATCCTTTTCTTCTGCTATTAAGTCATATCAACTCCAGTTCATGAAGCATAATACTTCTAAAACAAAACTGGGACTTTTCAGAAACCATTTTGAGTTACAGTACCTACCACCTAGAGAGGACAAGAATATAGTGAAGAAATAAAGGATCAATGAACTATTACACAGCTTTTGAAAATGACAGTAGGAGACTTTGGCCTATACTCTTAAAGATAATAAATTTTTACTGCAATAAAGACACAGTGGGAAAATTATGTAATAATTGGACTACAAGTTCCAACTAAAATAATTGGGAAATGGACACCCATATACTGCTGACAATATACCTTCATATATATATATATATCTATCTATCTTTATGGATCATTTTAAAATGAAGACTGATAATAACTCTAGGATTTCAGGGTGGGAGGGTTTGATTCCAGAAACAAAAGGGAAAAGGGGAAAAAGAAGCAGGTGAGAGGGGGAAAGAACACACTGCACACCCAGCAACATGGTTGTGGCCAATAACATGCTGACCAGTATTGCTGTGTATTATGCTTGAATGGTAAGCAAACAAATATTCAGTATGGCAAATTTCAACTGTTGATACTCATAAAAATCTGAAATAAATGAAATAGAAATTTTTGGGAAAGGCAAAGAATAACATTTGGTATTATCCATGCATCAGAACTTTTAGCTATGGAAAATTATTTTGGCCACACAAATATTAATTCTGCCCTCACAACAAAGAAAAGATACTAGGAACATTCATGAGAAAACCACAATTTCTCACAAGAATTAAAGGCTTTGCAAGATGTAATACATTTGAAAACCTTGCAGAGACATTTTCAGCTTCATAAATTTAGGAGGAACAGCAGCTTAAATTCTACACACTAAAACAAGGTAAATTATTTCTTAATAATGCAAGATAATATTTAATCCTGTTTTGTGTATGATTTCCATTCAACTCTTACACCACATTTAGTTGCACAGGTTCTATCCTACACTCATATGAGCATACCTCTATCAATTCATCTCTCTGTCGAAGGCCCTCTTTAAGTTCATCCAGCTTATGCTGCAGAACACTGCAGGTGTGTTTCTGTCTTTCCAATTCCTGTATTAAATAAATCAATTATTTATATTTATTTTGAGTTACGTATGAAATTGCTGCATGGATTTGAGACATTATACCTACCAAGCAGTTAAAAGACCACTGAAGGGGTCTAAATAAGTTGTCCAGACACTTACCACACAGAAGATTTTATTTAATAAACTGTAGAGAGAAAAAATGCCATAAAGACTTGTGCCCAATACTAACAAGTAAAGCTACTCTGAGTATTTTCAACTATTCTTAATAAGTAGTCCAGGTTTCTGTACTTTATAATTAGAAAAAAAATACCTTTGACTTCTCTTCATTCTCCCTACAGAACTCTGCTATCTGTTCTTCTTTCTCCTCAATAACATCCTTTAAAGTATCCACTTGGTAAATCAAGTTGTTTTTCTCATTGTCTAGTTGGGCATTGGAAACCATAGCTTTCTTGTACTTCTCTTCAACTTCAGCTAGTGAATCCTACAAACAGCAGAAGAGTTCACGTTAGTCTAACTTTTTGATGCATTGTTATAACATTAAAATACCACCATAATGTTAAAGTATGAGATGTTGGACATTAAAATTATGCAACCATTTTTGTTTCTGAAATATATTCTTTAGAGATACTAAGTAACAGTTTAGGTCCATTATTCAACTTTGGTCATACACAACAATGAAAAGTTTAAAAAAGCATGAAAAATACAAGATAACATTCCACTTTTCTACTCTGCCACATTCACAGCAACTCACAGGGATACAGTAGTAACATCACAGCTTCACATTCTAGTGAACACCACGTATCTAGTAGGAATATCAGTGTTCTCAAGGCATACATGAGAAAACAGTTCAGAATGAGGCAACAAATCTAACAGAGAGAATGTGGAGAATTAAATCAGTAAAAGAGACCACAAAAATAATCCCAAGAGTAGCTTTAACTTAATGCTCGCTGTTTAAGTAGCACCGTATGACCTTAGATTTAAATCTTTATGACAGCCACATGATTCCAGTAAAAAGAATTCACTATTTAAACAGATATTTTATCTTTGGTTTACTTACTAATTTTTTTTTTAAAAAGCATGTAACTTGGTTCTCTGCCTAAAGGTGTACATGCCTTGCTATATAGCCTCTTGAACAAATCTCCCCCATTTACCATTTTATCTTGTTTTTAGTTCTAGTTGGGGTTTTTTTTGTCAGAGTTGTAACAAATATCAACCATTTAAATACTTAGGAAACTATCACTCCAAGCGCTTTTAAGCATGCTTTTATTTCAATATGCATTATATAGGGGTTGGGACTACATGATCTTTAAGGTCCATTCCAACTCCTTAACATTCTATGATTTAAAAATAACAAAAATTGATTTTCAGAGTCCTAATTTTAGAATTGAAAAAGAACTATTAAGCCAATCCCTGGACAAAGTAGATCTAAGCCCTACTACAATGTCTTTGTACATCATGTAATCTGTTCCTTGAAGGCATAAGTAACATTATCTTAATTTTTAAATATTTGTATTTTGAAGCAGAAGCACTAGCACAGGAAGGGCATGAAGCTTGGGTTTCCAGAAAATAGAGCCCTACAACTAATATATTAAGAAGGTGGCAACAATCTAAGTTTTCTAAGAAAATACTTAAGATCACTATCTGCTAAACAGTAAAATTATGCAATCATTTTTGGTTTAGAATTATGGTCATGTCTTCTCTTTAGAAATACTAAGTCACAGTTCAATATTCTGTTATGCGAAAGTAAAAAAATTCCCTATCCCCAAACACTATTCCATGCACTATTCCGCATTGTAAATCTCCAGTTTGGGAAAGCTGTAGGGTATTTATTTTAGCTTTTATAATTTTATCATAACCACATATAATTATTTCACTGAATTCTGGAAATATCTGCTAGAGAAATATAATTTTTTGAAACCCCAGAAAAAATAATTACAGATTAGAAGAGACAAAACAGTGTAAGTTGTGAAAATATAACACAAGTACCATTATAGTCTAGGAAGTAGTAGCAAACAGCAAAGATGACTCAGGATAAGAAAAAGGAAAAAAATATATATATATATAAACATAAGTGTGTGCAAGTAATTCTGAAGATTAAAACCAGAGAAAGCATTTCTTTTTGTGATGCTGTAAATACAAATCTTGTAAAGATTGGCAAAACAAAATGCTAGATAGAGCTAGCAAACCTAAAGACTTTCAAAGAATAATCCAGTTTAGAGTTAAAAAAAGGAAATATTAGGATTATAATGAATGCTATAGTAATTTCACAGGGAGGTATGAAATGTAACAAAAAAACATGTGACTAGGAAAAAAGTCCAGTTTGATTATTTCTGTAAATGTGGTGACTGGGGTCATGTAGTAATTTAGTTCAGCAGAGATCTCTGAATGCCAGCTGGTCCAGTCTCCTAACTGAAGAGGGTCAACTGAGATCAGGCTGCTCACAGCTCATCTCCATTTTAAGTATCTCCAGAAATCTAGACTGCAGATGGTCAAACTTGCTGGATGACCTGCACCAGTGTTTGCTTTCCTTGTGAAAACTCTTTTTTCTTGAGTTCCAATTGGATTTTTCTGCTCCTACAGCTCAACTTTCGTCTGTTTTGTCTGTCCCTTGCAAAGAAGTCTGTCCTCTCCACAACCTCCTATCAGACACACTAAAAACAGCAACAATACTGCCAACCACTACTTCAAGACTTATCAAAGCCGGTTGTCTCAGCCTCTTACTGTATGCCATGTGTTCCAGGTCTCCAACCTTAAAAAACAAGACTAGGGTGGGGCTTAAAACACTGCATTAGAATGTCATTAATTAAAAAAATAATGGCAGGGGAGGATGAATCTGCAGTTACTAAAGAGGAATAGATTGATTTGGATACTCAAAGTGAAAACTGCTTCTGAGAGAGAAGCTAAGTTATGTCTAAGTCTCTGTTGGGTAAAAAAACCTGAAACATTGCAAAGACTTCTTTGCAGCTGTCCCCTTTTCACTTATTACACATGTTCCCCATGATTCAAGAATTCCATGCAGCTTCGGGGAGTCTTCCAGTTTGATTTGAAATAACTTCTGAAACAGTTGAAGGACACTGTAGAATTTTTAAGGATGAAGCAGTGGGAACGGGATGGAATGAAAACATATAAGGCTCTGCATATAACTGAAAGCTATGAAGAAATACCACCCACAACTTTATCAGTAAAGTGCTACAAAACTTAGCTTGCTCAGCTAGAACAAGATGATTCAAGCTAACAGACATCAAGAGAGTGCACTGTTAACAGCATAAAAGAAAAATTTTGAGGAAAGAAACAGAATTCCTTTCCAGCTGATGCAAAGAAATGCATAAAGAAGCAACAAAACAATCAAACTGAGACACCAAAAAATTTGAAGACCTAACTAAACCAAAACCAGCAACATTAGAGTTTATCCTGCTGTTTATACTGATACCCAGTATATTTGTAGGTGGGTAAAACCCACACTTTTAGCAGCATAAGGGCAACCAGAAAGCTCAGAAGGTAGTGTGATTACAAATCCCCATTAGTCCAACACTGGAAAAAACCAACCAACCAACCAAAATCCCCAACATTTAAATGCAGTGTAAAGCAGGTATCCTGGTAACTCTTCTGTAACATACACAAGACAAAACTGACCAAGTCCAAGTTGAGAAAAAGGCAGTACCTTCCTAATTAAAAAAAAAAAACAAAACAAAAGTTCCCAAAAGAATCTCTATGGAATGTGAACTAACCTAGGAACATATAATTCAGTATTAGCAACAACATAAAATGCAGTTCAATTCTGAAAGTCAAGCATAGATTAAGATCTTACTATTGCATACTGTGCTCTTTGGTAACTGTAATGGATTACAATAAATAATAATCCATTAACCACAAGTCAGAACAATAATCATAACATGCTGGCAAACACATAAAAGAGTGAGAGTCAGATCCATTCTGAAAATATGAAGCGGTCTCACATTACACTTGATCTATGGCTCATACCTCTATGTCTAATAATCCTGTAATCTACTACTCTTTGAAGTCCTTTTAATATTCATATGTCAATATAAGTAAACCAAAACATACTTCTTCTGAACATACTGTTACCAGATTTAAAGTTTCCTTTAAAGGTAAAGTTATAAAGAGGAAATAACTTTTGCTACACTAAACAGCTCGTATTACACATTTTCCCCTTACTATATGATCTAATATATTGTTAAATTGAAGAAATTCAAGTAAGCTGATAAATACATCACTGTTACATGCTCTAATACAAGAAGCATTCATTTAATTCAGTCTCTAGATGGATATAAAACATATGAAAAGTTCTCTGTACTTTTACATTAAACCATTCATAATTAGACAACAGAAAAGAGAACACAACAAGTATCTTGGAAAAGATTTGTAAGCCCCATAATTTTTTGAATCCTCTATCCCTTCAATACAAAACAGTGAAAAGTAGGATTATTTTAAATTTACTGCACTGTAAATTGTGTGAAAATATATAAAAGAAAGGCATCCACACTAGTTTAAACAAGTCAAAATACAGACAAATCTCCTGTGGAAAACTAGTATACCTAGCACCTAGCAGAGGTAGTTAGCTCAGTGTGCTGCTGCAGTACAAACTGCAGATTGCACCCTTGGTATGGGGAAATGACTGGAGCTTCCAGCAAGAGCGGTGATCGGGCACTGACCCTTTGCACAATAAGGTGCATGGGAACCTGTGGCACCAGCCAGGTAACCAGCCACTCAGAGATACAATGGGAGCCAATGGCTCAGCGGGAGGACCCCACACCCCCGTGTGCATGGACTGTGGATACAAAAGTCCACGGATTGCTTGGTTTAGGGTCCCTCGTTGGCAGCATCCAGCTTGATCTTGAGCTAGTTTTGTGTGACTCTGCCATGATTAAAGTACTTAGAAAAATCTGATGTCTGAGACTCTGTTATGGGAAACCTGTGGCTGAGCCTGTAGGGAAACTTTGACGGACAGTGTGAGAATGGTGTGTGCAGCCAGTCTAGTGCAGCATCCACTGACTCACTTGGTGACTCACTGGAGGGTTTTGCTCCCAGCAGTGAAAGTCTGGGGTGGTGGGAATGTGACTATCACAGTGGATGCAGGATTGCCAGACAGCAAAGTTTCCTTAGCACTCATTATCCTAATGCTGAAAAAAACCAATCTGTGATTTAGAGAAAATAATGGGACTATAAACCAGCATAAATGATTTTTTAATGGCAAAAAATTAAAACAAAATTAATTTTCTCCTGCAAGCACTATGCCTGCCGAAACTAACTGCAGTACATCTTTCAAAATTATTATTTTGCTTTTGCTTTATAATATGAAGTATTTGCTGAAACTTAGAGGACTAATTTTTAAGTTCTTTGCCATAATTATCGCCTATTTCTTTGTTCCCCATTTAATACCTAGTAATTATTTTGTATATCTGTTTATTTGCTAACAAATCTCTAAGAATATAAACTGAGCACCTCATTATCTTATCAGAAAACACCTATACATATATAAAAACATTAAAAAGTATTAACTCTTCTAACGGTAATCAAACAATAAATATGCCATCTCGTATACATTTTGAACTGATGGTCTTCATGCATTAGAAGTTAGATACATGCTTTAAGAAATTTAAAAATTTGTTAGTGAAGCCACTATACGTTAGTGAAACTGGTGATAACTCCATTATGCAAAACACCCATTCAGAATGCATGCTTGGGAGGAGCCCTGATACCTTTAATTCTTTAAGTCCCTGCATGTATCTCCCTTCTACATCATGTATCTGGTCCTTAAGATCATAGATATCCTGCAGGACATAGGAATAAACCATTGCATAAGAAGTATGGGAAAATAATTTAAAGTTGAAAAAGCATTAACAGGTTTACATGCACTTCTGTCAAATGACAAAGCCTGCAATAATTCCCAGAAACTAAAATGAATTCACAACAACTTGATGGAAATTAAGGTTTTGTTTATAACCCTAACTCCAACACATCTCAAATAGGACAGAATTGTTTGAAATTCGACAAACAAAGCTTAATAAGGTAAATGCTTAAACCATAACTCTGTACACAAACCAAGATAAAATACCAAGAAAGTAAAAAAATACTTCATGATTGAAAATGACATCCTCATAGCATTTTCTTATTATAATAGAAGTTCTGTATTAAAAAAAAATTTCCTATTTAAACTAGTTCCAAATTCTCTAAAAATGCAATTCACCCGTAATTCACTGAGGGACGCATCAGGATCCACCAAATTACTTGCATCTCCACTTCCTCTCCTAGATGAGTTGCCACTCTGAGGAGCTGCACTTACTGAATTGCGAGATGAGGGCTTAAAAAAGGGAAAAACATTGTGTCAGGAATCATATGGTTATTTCTGGTACTTGATAAAACTCTTTATAAATTTCTTCAAAGTCATAGAACAGTTTTCTCTCTGGTCTTTCTTAATACTAGCTTACAGACAGTATTTTCCATTGAGTATTTTCCAGCATCTGTGTTTCTTCTTGGTAAAATGCTGGTTTCTTGTTGATGACTTAGTGTATCAGAACATTAGAATTTTGAGTCATCTATCCAGAAGATATTCATAATCGGCTAATAGTACTGAAATACTGTAGACATTGACAATATTATTAACTCATAATTTCTGCCATCCAGGATTCAAAAGAAAACCAACAATGAGAATCTATCATATGGATTTTTATAGCTTTAGCCTCCTAAATTTTAGTCTTTCCTGGTAAGTCTTTCTCACATGAAAAATAAATTGTATAGAAAATTATTACTGGCCAAAAGTAAACTAAAGAATAAATTTTTTCCCTCAAGAAATAAAAGTCATAAACCACTAACTCTGGGCAATAAAAAAGTATATCTAAAAATATTTTTGCAAGCTAACCCTGACAAAAATACAAAGAATACACAGAATGTACACTTTTTGAATTATTTCAACACTTGTGATTTGTGAATGAGCACTGACTTTAAAGAATTTTTAAAGTTTTTTTTAATTTTAAAAACTCTTACCCTTGAAAATATTTCTGAATGTGACTTTTCACTCTTTTCTTCCAGCTGAAAGAGAATAGGGAACATGATTACCTTTTGTAATAAGGAACTACCGAATTGGTATCTTTTGTTCAAAGAGACCGAGAAATATTTTTAAATTAAACCATTTAAAAAATTCCAGATGTTAGCATAGATCAAGACAGGAAAAATAATATTTAGCTTAAAAAATAGTTTTTACCTCAATTGCAAAATACATGTAAAGTAAAAAGCTTGTAAAGAAAAAAGCCAGAAACCTTTCTTTAAAGTTTTTAAAATGTCATTACCAGTACTGAGCAACAAAACATGCCTATTCTTAAATTTCAAGTATATTTAAATATATGTTTCAAGTAGTATTTAAATTTCAAGAGTTATTACTACAATACTAGATGGCATAACAGATGCAAAGCTTCATGCAGGTACACTTCAGGCAGTCAGTGACAGCAGGGTGAATGCTGTAGTTAACAGAAAACACATCTGTACATTCAATCTCTTTAGTGTCACCTGCAATTACATCACAATAAAACTGGTTCGGGTAAAAGCCTATAACTGAAGTGTACGAAGTAAAAGCAATCTACAAAATAATTTCAATTCATATTCTATCTACTGAAGACTAAGGAAAAGAACTACCACACTCCCTTCTTACTTAGGAAACTGCTATTGCAAAATTATATTGTAGATGTCCACATTTTCTACATTTCTATGAATCAAAATAGGTGGGATTAGACACATATTTAGTATGGTCTCTCACATATCCTGCTTCTCAAAGAATACCTGTTTTTCTCTATGCCAGGGAGAAGAGTTTTGGAAGTCTATTGCAATCACAGAAGAAACAAACACTACTTTATAAGACTTTTCTTTTTCCTTCTTATTGTGGTTTCTAAAAAAGCAACATTGCTTCTTCATGACAAATTCACTACCTCCAATAATGTACTGAAATTATAGATTACAAATATTTGTTACCAGTGTGATGATAGAATGATGTGAAGAATCCAATTGATCTGAAGGATACATTTAGACTAACCTAAATAAAAATATAAAATTCAAATCTAATGACAAATAATGATGATAACACAAGCAACTAAGAAGGCAGCATAACTACCAGTCTCAGCCTCCACATTTCTTTCAGCAGAGCATTAATTTCAGAAAGCTTTATTATGGGAAAAAACGCTGAAGTTTAAGCTGGAGACATAATTAGTCTCTCATTATTTGAGAATGATACAGATGAAAAATAACATGAATTATTACAACTTATATAGCACAGTAACAGTATTAAAATATCATCTAAATGCTAAGCCACAGAAAGTGATTGTGAGAGTAGTCTAGCTCTCAGTCTCCCATTCAAAGCAGAACCACAGCCAACAGCTGTGGTTTGATCTAGCAAACTGTCACCAGCTCCTGAACACAGAAGTTCCGCAGCCTTGCTGTAAGCTGACAGACTGGAACAGTAACATCCTTTTGGAGCTTCTTGGAGTGTCTGGTCTGAACTCTTAAACTGCAGTGTGAGGTTGCTGGCCCTTGTTGCACTGCTTGGCAAGGGTACAAAGACTTTGGCTCTCACCTAGGCAAGCAATTACATGCTGCTGATCAACACATACCATTCTTTCTGCTCAACTAAATAAACACAGTGCTCCCAGTCTCTCTGCCTACCTACTGCATCTGCTAACCCTAAATGCTGTTTCAAAAGATATAACTAAGAACAGAAATTTGCCATTTACTCCATGCTATTAAACACAAAAGTTTAGCCTGCAAGTAACAAGAATATTTAGAAGTTACAGCAGCAAGAAAGAGAAGGTGGCTAGGTTTGGTATAAACAATGTTCAACCTAAAGGGAGCTGCACAGGAAAACCCATCATGGTAATTTTCCTGTAACATGATCTCTTGATTGACATGGGATTCTGTACAAGTGCATAGCCAGCAAGGAGTGCTTCCGTAATGGATTCTGAAAAAATCTCATATGGGATGACGGAACACTAAAATGCACTAATGCAGGCACAGATATAAGTATCTTTGTCACTAAAAGAAGTAATAGTATTCCAAAAGCACACAAAAACCTCCCTAGCATGGTTAATTTCCATAAGAAAAAAATGTAAAATATTTGGGTCTTTAAAAGATTGTTAAGCTTATCACACACACACAAAATTGTGAAGTGTTACACTTGTCACATGCTTCTAGCAACAGTCAAAATCTCCTTTAAAAGAAGGAGCATGCTTTTTAAAATTTCACTCAGTAAATTTTTATATGAAAGCAAGTCCCAACTCCGCAATAAACCAATTTGCAATTAAGTAATTTACAATGCTTTAACAGTATTTACTCTTTCAGAGTATGAAAAGAAAATCCGTGGTTTTGCTGTATTCACCAAAGTGTAAATAAAAAGCATTACACTCACACTATTCAAAACTTGGCCATAATCTGCATCAGAAACAATGCTTCCCCTGTGGTTGGAACGACTGAAATAATCAGCAGTAGTTTCACTTTGATCAGAAAAATCAGAGGACTTCAAAAGATAAGGAGAAGGTGAAAGAGAACTGAATATGACACCACTGAATGAGCAAAAGTTTATTTAAAACAAAAAAATCCTACCTTAAATCTCCATTATTGCACTAAAAACAATGAACATTTATTATTGATTCATCTTCCTCAATTAGAGTTATATAAAAAAAACATAAAACCAGATAACAAAGGGTTTAGTATTAATTTAAGGTCAAATACAAACTACAAAAATTAAGTTTGCAGATCATAAAAGACAGATTATATAAACTGATAAATGAAAACTATTTTTCTCTACAAATGTTGTCTTTTTTTCATATCAACACAAACCCAACAGTGCTAGCTATAATCTGGGCTTCTTCTCATTCCTAAATTTAAGACATCTTACACTAGAAGGCAAAGTTACTCCCCAAAGATGTATGTCAGACTGGCACCTGAAAAGGCGGGGGAAAATGCTAGTGCTACACATTTCTTGTTAAAAAAGGCAAAATATATCCAAGTGCAATTACATCTGCAATGGGAATTAAAATGAAACATTCGACTGAGATACATTATGCCATGTAAAACACAGTATTAAATGGGAAGAGTGGAATTATCATAAGCTTATTGATAACATTCTACTTCAAAAGGCAGAAAGTTAAAACTAAATACAATCTTCACAGTGGAAGTGATTATAGGAGAAAAAAATCCTTCTATGAAGAGTTTGAAAATATATTGTCCTTATCCAATTCTCACAATTTAAAGAAAAATTCTTTATTCTTGATGTATGTGATTAAAAGCTAGCAAGGTTTAAAAAGTTACATATATAATTGGTATACAAAAAACAGTTTATTGGTGAACACCTGGCTCAGATTATGCTATTTTAGGACTACAGAATTTGTAATTGTTGTCTCTGCTATGTTATGTTCTATTTCTCTGACAACAAATTTTCCAGCTATTTTTCAGCTACCTCTATATTTCAACTAGTTTCTTAACTTTCATTAAATGTAGCTAGCTAGGTAAATTTTGATAGTTGGAAATTTGGCTAAACTGTCCTATTGCACTTGCATTTCACAAAGTATAGAGATACTGAACAGAATTCTTCTTATTTATGATTATAGCAAAAGAACAACTCAGGCTACAATCTATGATGGATTTTTATAATTCAAAATCCACTTCTCTTTGCTGTTGAGATCCATATACCTAATAAACCTTGTTGTCCCTCCTTCCATACTTTTTGCAGTCCTAGCATCTTTCCCAATGGGTTCATCAAAACTTAAACATTTTAAGATGGAGAAGCATCACACAGTTTCTCCCAAGTGTTTTCTACCTTTTAGATCTCTCCTACTTGCTCTTCTGATTTTCAGAGAGACCTAAACTGACTTCAAATGCATTATCCAGAGTAAAACCAAAATAAAAGCCACAGAAACAGTAGGAAATTAATGTTACATTATTCATAAGATTTTTACCTCATCTGCTTTTCAAGATTATTTCATTAAACAAATGCTTTGAACTCTATTAAGCATTCACTAGTGTGAATGTACCTTGGCACTACTGGTATAAGATATACATAGTGAGATCTGATATATATTTATATATATATATTCCTATATATCTTAAAGTAGTTTTAAGAAAGTATCTCGGTGTTAAGAAAGTCTAAGAAGACAAGTAGCGTTTTCACAATGCAAGAGACTATATATATATATGTCAATACCTGTTACATTTTAGAACTTCATAAAGCAACAGCAAAATTACCTTTTTCCTAAACTCTCAAAAATTCACTGATATCTCTTGTAGCTAAAAGCATTCGTTTCTGACAAATGTGGTTTTATTTGTTTAGTACATATAACACTGTTAATATGTGAGAAATTTTAAAAAGGACTAAACATTTCAATTTAGTTCATACTAGAACACTGATAACTTATTTTGTTTTGTGTGGTGTGACAAATGAGCAGCTATATTAATGAAACTCAGACAATTGTTCTGTGGCAGAAGCAAAATAAAACTCTTTAAAATCACTTTGCAGCACAAAGAGCCAAGTTTAGAATGACACTTTTAATACAATACAGACCCAGAAACAAATTTTTCTCATTTTGGATAGTGGTTATCATAAAAACAAATGATCAAACTTCTTACTGCATGATGTAACAGTTTCCATTAATCCTCTTCCCCAAAGAAAGACTTTTCCACATGTACTGTAGTGTGTTTCATGTGCTTGACCCATCTATGACATAGGGTGGTAACCCCAACTATGTGCTATACTTCAGTTACTAGTTGTTTATTACAAACATGAAAAAGATATTTAGAAAAACAAATTCCTTCTACAGTTTACCGTCTTACTGCTAAAAGTTTACATCTTGTTAAAAATCATACCTCTGACAAATCAAAACTTCTTTGCGAAATGGAAAAATCATATCTGTGTGTTGCTCAGTGAAACAATCACAAGTGGACATACTCATAACTGCTGATGTGTTAATACCAAAACATTCATCAAATCGTGCATAGGAATGCTCACCACAGGACTACTTCGGACTGAGTTTGCTCTTGAAGAATAACTGCATTCAGATGGCTAAAGAAAAGTTATGAAGGACACTTTCACAACTTTCATAGATTTTTGTCTGCAGAAAACAAAGATAATGAAAGAAACAACCAGAAGCCTATAACACTAAGAATGCAAGAACTATTTATGTCATTCATCACCACACAATGAGGCCTGACAAAGAAGGAATGAAGTACCATGTATACCGAGACTCAGACATTATCATGCCACACTCATATGCTGTAATTCCTATGCACAGTCACGTACTCTGTTATCCTATCTACATATTTCCAGTTAGTAGCATACTTCTTGAGTAAAAAAAAAAAATTTAAGATTCGCAGTAGCATTTACTACTACTAGCAGGAATGTCTATTTCCATGTGTCACTTAAGAATTCCCTTAAAAAACAGCCAAATACTTTAAAAAAATCAAATCTTAACTAGTTGCATAACTGAATTAAACATTTAAATTACAATTTTGTTTTAACTGCTCTGCAGAAGTTTTAACACACCCTGGGAACTGAAGCTATGCAGTACACTTAGTGGTTTTATGTTACAGTCACTCATGCACATTCTCCTGAGTTATGTTTAAAGGTGTAAGGCTGAAATCTATTTATGCAGTGAATAATAAAAGCAGCTCTGAGAAACGCAACTTAAAAAGAAAAAAAAATTACGATTTCATGCTGCTTTGCCCCTCCCCATGAAGAAACCACCAGCAGAAATTAGAAGTATATATGTATCAGAGTTATCCGTAATAGCAGTCTTTACTGTATTGTTCTCTCATTGAATCTTCTAACATTTTCTTGAGAACATACACAAAAGCCAAAAATAGTAAATCATCTATTTGTAATCCAAGTGCAAAAGAAGATCTCACTAACTAATTAAAAATACTACACAATATTTGATGGTTTTTTACATAGGTTTAGCATGTCTCTAAATGGCAGTGTAAGATGTATTTGAACTACTACAGCAGCAAAAGGCATAAAGTTTCAGACGTTCATGCCAGCTTCAAAAGATAACTTTTTGCAGAGCTACCTTAGCCATTCTTATGGCACTACTAGCTACTCTTGATTTTGTAAAGATGCAGATTAGGTTTTCATGCTACTGCATTTTTTTATGTTTATTAAATCTAAATATGGCATCCTATTTAAAAGTATTCAAGGTGTATTTACCACAAACTTCAGTAATCTCCTGATTTCCATCCAAATGCTTAACTTTTTAAAATACTGGTTTTGGTGTTATACATGCAGTTGTTATTTAGTATGTTTGAATTAACTTATTCTAACCCCAGTGTTCTTCAACATTATTGTTGCATTCACTTAACTTTATGCTTGCTTATAAAAAGAGCAGTAAAACAGCAACTGCTAAAATACTTTAAAGAGGCAATTTAACAACATTAAGAAAATTAAACTGAATGCCTCCAGAAAATTATACACAGAAAATGCAACTCCAAAAAATGCACATGTAATACACATGCACATGTGCAAAATGCACACGTCAAACCTCATGGCCATACAATACAAATTTGAGGCAACCATGCATATGGTGCTTACAAAACAAACTGATACTTCTTATCAAACCAGTATTTAAAGGAGACACCTATGAAGAAAAGTGTAATTTTATATTTATATTGGGCCATTCAAACATCTAAAGGTAAGTAAAATACTGTTTTACATTGTACTAACCCTGTAACTCCTAGCTGGTGCCACTGGATCACTGTATAGAGAAGATGACTATAATGTGAAGAACAGAACAAGTCAGAAACACTTTTTCTGCATACATAAATTTTAAAATTTATGTTCTATATTCCACTAAAGTCCTAAAGATTTAAATACTAAATTTTAATCTATCTATAGTAGACAGAAACTTTCAGGAAGGGTGGAAGAGCCTCCAAGAAAACCTGTTATTTTTGAAATCAATTTAAACATTATTAAACCAATCTAGTATTTTTTCAAGTAGATTTGTGGAAGAGAGTGAAGAAATTAAGGAGTTCTCAAATAACATGTCAGTTTTCTCTAGCTAGTTATTTAAACCTGGCCATGATCACAGCTGCAGGTACTGGAAGATATTACTCATCTCATTATATATCAGTATTTTATAATTTATGTTAAGATGGAAAAAAGTATTGCAATGGTGCTAAACATTTAAGACTTCTTTTTGTTGTTTTTAAAAGACAGGAATTTGACACAGCAACTGTTACAGCTGCTGGCTGTTTTCTGTATATCATACAGAATCATGACACAGAAGTTATTTTAAATTTAAAACCTCACATGCAGAACAGCGTAATCTGCATGTTACACATTAATTTTATAAAACACAACCCTTACAAGCAAAAAATACAATTGTTATTACTTTTAACTGCAATAATTGCAAGTGTCATAGAGAGATAAGTTAGTGTCATATGGCATAAGTAAGCAAAACCACATATATGTATTTTATATAAATAATTCAATTAATATAGAAAGAGGAGACAGACCCAAACATGGTAGGAAGGAACTGGTTTACTATATCCAATGCTGCTATAATTTCTTTGATCATAGTAAATTCCACTCTGAGAGGTAAGGAAGGAAAGAAGAGAGAAAAGAAAGGTTGCATCTGTACATCTTGCAAACAGAAGTTTTATCTTAACATTACCCATGTGTTCCCAAGCTTAGATCTTGTGCAAAATGCTGTAAAGTTTTCCCTAATGTTGACCCCAAATCCATTTAACTTTCTTAAGGAAGTAAATAATAAAAGCCTCAAAATTACTATGTACTTTGTATATCAGCATTAACTGTATTTCTAATGCCATGCTCAAACAAAATAGTAACTAATTTTGGTATTTTTCCTCCATAATAAAATAAAAATTCCAAAAGCTTGACAAGTGCAGCAAGAAATACATGAAAAACGTAACTGAAAAGACTTGCTAATAATTAGTACAATTATTTACTTTATCTTTTTTACATTAGATACCATTATGAATCAAAGCATTTTGGGGAGGGAGAATAATAGAAAGTCCTAATAATTGAATTGGGGCTGGATGTTTATGTGACACTAGCATAGCCTGTACTCTACCACTATTCTTTACATCAAGTGCACATACTGAAAGTCTAGCAATTATATTTTGGCTTATCTCCGTTGTGTTTTGACATTCTCTACACAAACTGCATATATAGGCACATGTGAGGAAAAAATTCTTACACACATACAAAAAAGAAAATCCAGACAGATAAAAACAGAACAAAAAGTAGCGCCTGCAGCATACAGCACTTCTTATCTCAACAGGCAACAGAAAGCAGAAATATTCATATTGCTCATTTGTTTAGGAACTAAGGGAACAGCCCTTCAAAAGTACATTAAGAAATGCTATAATACAATAATAAGTAAATACAAAATTACTTCAGCCTAGTCTCAACACAAGCTGGTTTGATCCCCCCAACCCTTAATTCAGTTGCTAATTCATCAGTACCAAAAACTGTCTGAAAAACTACATCCAAAATATTTCATTTATTGACACTATTTCCACATGTTAAACACCAAACTTTCTGGAATAGTTTCTACATAATCAAAATAATCCTCATGCCTTTCTCAATAAATCACTGGATTAACATCAAGATCTCTGGCAAATTCAATCTGCTGTACATCTATATTTAAAATGTTTCTAACTATTTGATAGAGGACAAAGGGGGAGTAATAGAACACATATCTCCATCCCAACTGAATAAACCTTAATCCAGAGAAGTGCCACCTTTAAATAGTTCCAAGAGCCCTATCCAGGCCTCCAGCAAAACATGATTTCTATTCATCTAATTCCATTGATGGTATTGCACTGATACAAAAACAGTTTCAAACACAAATTGGAAGTCAGAATCTGATCAATATGAGGGTTTTTTTTTTCCTAAAAACATTTATGCAAATGTCAGGAAGCTAACAAATTTATCCATGATGCTACATGCTGTTATGGATTGATTTTGGCATAGTGTTAGTGCTTTTATGAAAGGTGTATTTCTAAAATGGTTACTGTGAGATGTGATCTGGAAACAGAACAAAACAGGCTTTAACTTGGGAATGGAGGAAAAAAAACCCATTTTATTTATTTACAACACAAAGTCAAGAGGGAAATAAAAAGACTACACACAAAAATCTACAATGGAAAACTTCTAAAATATTTTTTTCTCTTTCTATCTTTCTAATACTATCACACTATATGACAAGACTGTAATTCCTAATTTAGCTACCACTCCTCTAATACTTAATTTTCAGTTCAATATCATTTTTTCACAATTTTTTTTTAGTTTATTAGGAGAGAGGAGGGCTTTTTTTTTTGCACTATGGGCTTTTTTAGGAAACACAGTTGGAATTTCATGTGCTTCTATGTCACACGTGGCAGCCGCCTGAAGAGAATTTGCTGTGGTGAGTATTTTTTTATGTTTAGTGTTCTTACTACTGTCTATGGATTTAAACTGCTTTTGAGGTTTTTTTAAGAATGTATTGCTCAGTTTCAAGAAGTGACAGTTTTTTACTATTGGGACATTTGTCTTCTCTATATTCATTTTTTTGGGGCTTGGGGGTTTTAGGAACAGAGATTTTTTTTCTGTTGAAGGCAGACAGCTCTACTACAGCCTCCCCATCAGTCTTTGTTCCTTTTACTTCTTTTCGTAACAGCTTTGTCACTCTTGGCTTTTGGCTAACTGCTTCTCTTAAGCTGTAGTTTTTAAATTACAGGAAGAAATTGGCTCTATCTCATGGCTAGGTAAGAGAAAAGTCTAGCCAAAGGCTACTCTAATAATCTCTTTTATCTAGGGCGCTTTTTATCTGCTGATATTTCTTCCCTTTCTCAAGCCGCCTTCTTATTTGCCTATCTTCTGTCTCCTCTCAATTTTTAGTTATGGAGGATCAGTGTTTTTACAGCTTTTATTGTCTTAGCATAAAAGGGGCTAAAACTTCTGCCCCGGTTTGCCGTCGGCTGGGCACCTTACCTCCCTCTTTTTTCTTCTCGGCCGTGATGCTGTCACAAGATATCAAATTTTAAGCCAGCACGGTGTCTCTACCACTCTCTCCCGGAGCCGGGGTGGAGGGTGGCTGTTTGAAACATCTCAGATCTTTTTTACTCTTGCATTTTGCAGGGGCTCCGGCCTCCCTTCCCACAGGCTGCCCAGCTACCCAGAGGTAGCTGGGCAGGAGAGGAGGTCAGATCAACTTACTGACTGCACTTGAAAGAGAAAGTCTTTTTGGGAATCTTTTGCTTTTAACCCTTGTGTGTTCTCAGAGGCGTATCCAGGTCTTCAGTAGCCACACCAGGTGTTAATTTTCAAATCTGGCCACTGATTGGTTTGACCACAGCTTTCCCAGAAACTCACTTCCTGGTCAAACCACAACACATGCTTAGTATATTTATAAGGAATATTATATGACAAAACTACCCAATAAACCATCATGAGAATAAAGAGCTTTCTCCTTTGAACTTTGTGATTAAGAGTAAGCATGACTCTAAGAATGAAATTTAGAGAATTAATACCATTATATAACAGCATCTTCAATCTTAAAATATAAAGACAGATATAAGGATTTAAGAGTTTTATCACCTAAAGCAGAAACAACACAGGAAATTCCAACTACCTAATTAGAAAAAAATAGGCCACACTTCTATCATTGTGTTAAAAAGAACTGGCAATTGAAACTATAATCAACCCTATTCTCATTAATATAGACTTGCCTTAAAGCTAGTGCTCACATCTCACAGAAGAATTTCAACCAATAAACAAACTAAAAAAGCTTAACAATATAGACTAATTTAAGCACTATATTGTGCTTGCCTATCTGCTAGCTAATTCAGATAACAATGTTATTTGAACAAATACAGCTTTTTAAGCTGCTTAAATATTCCTTTTGGTGGTACTTCATGCTTGCCTCTTCTTAAAAAACAGATTTTATGTGGCATAATACCACTGAGAATGTGATGCCATCTACTATCACTTCATAAAAATATGACAGATGTCTTTTAAGTAAAGATATACAAACTAGCTGCTTATTCCCTGGACTGAAGTAACTCCCCATTAGATTAAGTTGAAGTTTCTATGCGGTAATAGAGAACACAAATAGATGCATACACACTTTTCCCCCCAAAGGTATCCTCCACGTCTAATCTGTACAACACTTTACTACAAAACTTAAAAATAACAGGAATAGAAAGTGCTTGCTGTAAGACAGGTGTCTTTTCTCCCTGAAAAAAAATTACACATGTAGGCTACAGAAAGTGTTAGAAGTATAAAACTATTAGAGATCTGAACATGTGATAGTACAAATTTATATACTTTTTAAAGTCAAGAATTTAAAGTCACTAGTTAATACCATTACACCTCAGAAACAAAGCACAAAAACAGTCTTCGCTCAAAGAGATGCAAAGTATTAGCATATAGGGACCAAATATCTTGCAGATTTATCCTTAGTTTTGTCGTACTAAAGTAAAATAAAATTAAATTAAATTAAAATCACAATGTTAAAAAAAAATTAAATTGCTTTTATTTCAAAGAATGACTAAAAAGACTTTCAAGAAAATTCCAAGAAAACATATTCTACTAATAATGAAAATTTAAACAGGAAGGAATATCCATTTATCCAGATCTGAAGTGCTTTCTGAGGCTGGACCATTCAATAAAAATTAATATTTTTCCCCAACAGCATCCCAATTTATGAAAAATGAGATAATTTTGGACAGCACTATACTATGTGATTTTAGTAATAGAATTTTAAAAAATTAAGCCAAGTCTTATATGGTAGATTTCATTAAACTGAGACAACATTTACAAGGTTATGTAACAAAAGGCTCATACAAATCTGCACACAGGCAAAGCACTCTAAAGGATCATCAGCCCCATTGTCAAGCTGTGCAACTCACCATGATGCAATGACCTTCCATGGTACCTTACAGGCTCAGGAAGGTCACTGCCTATGGTGTACAGGACATGAAAGACTTTACAGAAGGAAGGGGAAATAGTATTTTGTAATCAGGGAGGAATTAAAGGTGGGAACAGAGGAATTAAGTGTTTTCAGGAAGAGCAAATGTGTGAAAAAGAAGGAACAGTGTGATGAAAGGGCCAGCTATGCGTAAAGAGAATGGGAGTTTACCAGAGTTGGCAGCTCTTAAGAATACTAATAAAAACAGCTTTGTAATAATAGTTTAGCAACTGTCCTATGTTTCCTGTCACTCAGTAACAGCAAAATTTGTAAAATTTATACTTCTTTTTTTCAACTTAGAAAACTTAAATTTTCACAGCAAGCTTGTTTTTTTCCAGTTCATTTAAAAATGTCACAGGTATTTTAACTGTAGGTAATGCGCAATACAAAATATAATTTTATATCAACCTAAGCCTACTTGTAACACAAGAGAAAAAAGAAACTGAAGGTAGTTTGAAAATATTACATTACATAGTAGTAGCATGCTGGAGTATTGCCCAGTGTAATTTTCAAAATGAGGAGTAATGAGAGGATTTCAAGAAAAAATATTTTTGTCTATTGTTATATCTGAAAATTTCTTCTAGACATGAAATTAATACCAGAAATTCCCCAGATTTAGATTTTATATTTGTTTATAAGTCAATATAGCCCAGATTTAGCTATTATTTCATACTGTATTCATATTATCTCAATAGTTCCAATATATCCAGTATTAACAATATATTAAATGATATTTTAATATTGTAGATGTAATTTATAGACTGTGGTCCTTTTTGTGTTGCTAAAACTATTACCTACAGGACCCATAAGTCAACGGATCAGTTTTAATCAACTTTATTTTTTTAAAACAATTTCTGTCTCTAATTATTACCTCCAATAAGCAACCTTGCTATCAGTGAATGAAGACAGATCACTCAGACACTTATCATCCCGACACTAACTTAAACTGTTAATATAAAAGGTATAACAGTCTACTAAAAAACGCTTAACTTGCCTAAACTAGGAATACCACAAATAAACAGAAATACCCATTACTGAAAAAGCAAAATTTCTGTATTTCAGCCTTGTCTGTTGTTCTAAAATCACAACATAAAAGAGAAAAATGTCTCCTATTGTAACTTTCAATAACACGTTTGTACCTGTCAAGGCTGATGGACAGCCTTTTCCATTTTATTTTACTTCTCTATTGGGGACATGGGGAGAGAGCGACTGAAGAGATGAATTCCCTTCACAACTGTAAGTGTTCTTTCTTTCAGCTCTCACATTTGATATCACAAATTACTTGATTACATCAATCATTGCAGCAGTCCCATTAACACCATGTTCTATAAGCATGCTTTCACCAAACTACTGCTTTGCTAAGTAAACACAGAAAACATTAGAATGTGAACACATCACACTAAGTAAAAAGTGCTCATTCCAAGTTACACACCACAAGAGCTCTCCTTTTGGAGGTACTTGCTCTGCTCCTGTGAGATGCACTGACATCTGAGGAACTCTTGAGAATGAAATTATAAAAATACATTAACATATTAAATACATTTTTAAATTTAATTCTATTACTTTTCACTGAATAACAGAAAATAACCAAGGCAGTCAAAGAAATTCTAAGTAAGCCCCCCAAAAACGAGCTTAGTTATCTGCCCAATTCAAACCCTCTCATTTAGACAACAGCCAATTACTTAATCTCCATCTTAGCATATTTGCTATGTCAGCCAAGACAAGAGCAGATCTGAGCAAAGCTATATCAGCTCACAAGTTTCTAAGAGTTGCACATAGCATGTTTTCTTGATAAAGCATTTACTGTTCAAAATTATTTGGTAAAAATATGTGTGTGGCAAATTGCAGAAATACTTAACAGTAGTACTTGCATGATATTACACAAAATTCAGTTAATCAGAAACTACATTTAATTGCAAAAATCTCTTAGCAAGTGACAATTACCTTTTTTAAAGTCACACAAAGAAACAGCTCATTCCAACTTCCAAAATACTATTGTATTTTAGTAATTTGTCCCTTTCCTGGCCTGTATACCCAGATCAATGACCAGCTGATTTCTAGGCAGATCCAAGACCAGGAAATTGTTAACATAACCTCAATAAAACTGTTCTTTAGCAATATATATATGGCCTAAAGATGATATAAAAGAGTCTATACAAAAAATATTTCTGTTAGCAGTCGTCGGGATACCTTATATCATTCAGTTAAATATTTTGCCATTAATGAATAATATATTCCCACCTTCTCCAAGAAAAAGAATCTTGCATCATACCAAACTCTTCTTCAAATTATATCTTAAGATACTGATACTTTTTCTTTCACAAATGCTCAGAGTATTTGTGAAAGATACACAAATGCTCATTTTCACAGTAATGCTCAAAGTGCAAGAAAAGACTGGAAGATTGAAACATAAAAATAAACTACCTTTTTAACATTGATGGAAAGAAAACACCAGATGAACTTGAACATTATATGTGACTTAAAATGACTAAAACTACAAATACTTATGAGACTTGAAGCTTCATCCTCTCCATTAGAAAAATAAGCCAGAACCCAAACCCTTTTTTCCTTTGGATTGGTTTCTGAGGGCTATGATCAAAAAGAAAAAGTATACAGTTTGAACACAAACCAAATATGAATGTCGATTGGAGTGGTGAGAGTATCTGGCCCTCTCTACATCTTCCTGAGAAAGAAGAAATGCAGAGTTACTTCATAAGGAAGGAAAAAAAACCCTGACACAATATTAGGAAGCTAAAGTGAGCAACATGCTGTTAGCACTTTTAATGCTAGGTGTCATTTTGAATAATCCATAGTGGCAAGTAAAGTCATTCAAGTCAGAAGAGCTCATTTCACCTGATTTGGTTAAGTATGCCAAGTTATCACATTAGGGAATATAAGCAAGACAGGTTAATATAACTAATAATTAGTTTTCAGTAGTCAGTTAGCCTTTCTTATGATTAATATATTAATGCAGAAAAAAAGCACAAAACTATTTAAATTAAGAAATAAAAGTAAAAATAGAGAGCTTTACAAAATTACAAGTACACTAGTAAGAAATGTACCATATAATTACTATATTGGGATTTTAAGTAATTTACCAAGTTATTTGAGCTCTAAGAGAAATTATTATTCTCAGTTGCCTCATATATATTTTGCATTTTTTTCTCTATTAGAGGAACAAAGCTTCTTAAGCAAATTGACCAGTTTAAAATTCTACAGTTAGTTTTCCTATACACTGACAGTGAAAATAATAAACCAAACTCAAAATCTGAGTGATGACAATTACCTAAGGCACCTTAATATCTTTTACTCTGTTTAAAGATGAGAGAATGTTCATTTTGGTTTACACAGGAGAATACATGAAAGATGCAAGACAAAAACCACAATTAATTTAAAATCAAAACATATTTCACACGCCATAAGCATCTCAAATTGCTACAGTATGAAAACATGTTAAGAATAATTTTAAAGCTATCTCATCTGGAAGCTACAACACAGTTCTAAAAGTAGGAATTGTTCCTTAACTTACCTATTTCCTACAGTTTTCAATATATTGAACTATTTTAAAGATTGTAATTATTTATAGAATTAAAGGCTTTGTCTCCAGATCATAAATGGATATCTAAAAATTAGATTTCTTATTGCTTACGGTCACATGGTTGTCATCTGCATTTTCACTGGATACATTAATTTGTTTAAAACTATTTTACAACTATTCAGTATTCAACAGGCCTCTTTAAAAATCTGCCAGAGAACTGCCATGGGGGGAGCGTACTTTCATTTCATAATGACATTTTAGTCTTCCTCTCTGTACTGTTTGTTTTGAGATTTAAAATGAATGCTCAAGCTATTTAACTTTTCAACACAATGTAGTTAGATCATTGCTCTTTTTAAATATTCTTTATATCTCTGGTCTAAATGGACAAGTACCTCTTAGTAACATCTGCATCAGACAAGAAGAAAGTTTGCTACTTATGTAAGATTCCTCTTAATTGGTGGGTAACAAGTCTCTTCCTGACATTCCATCAGAAGATAGAAAGCCTGTATTAAATGTTCAGTATATTCAGGTCAAAGGATTATGTACTATAGTATGTATTACCAGCAGCATCTATCTGTTTGCATCTCAAGCTCAATTTCTAAAAGTTCAAGTTGGAATTATGCATATTATCCAATACAGAGGTTACATCTCCCAAACCAGGAAAGGAGTGCATATCTGTTTAGAAATCTCCTGCAGCAGACGCACCCCTTAGGACTGCAAAAGGAAGGTGGCATTCACTTGAGTGGCATTAATTTTGAGTGAGATTCCTCTCAAATACCATATTTTGGAAACCCTTGATCTCAAGCAAAAAAACCTTCTAAGATACATTCCGCCAAGAAATACAGAAACTATGCTGATCTTGAGAACATGAGAACTAATGTATACACATATCAGACAGGCAAAGAGACAATAAAGAGTGAATACAACTTTGCAAATAAAATTCTAATGACAGTCCTAGGATTTCTCAACAGATATTAACTGCCATTGTAGTTTTAACTATTTGAAATGATGGCTAGTCTCAGCGTGTCTCTTAAATCTTGGTGATTCAAAACATTCCCACAGTGAACACTTTCCTAACAGCCAGAAAAACCCAACATCTCCCATATACCCTTTTAAGAGGCACATTAATTCTGTGAAAGGAACCCTCTAAAGAAACTTTGTAATTAGTCAGTCTCACTCCAGTGCTGGGTAAAATAATGGAAAAGTCTATTCTGGGAGGTACTGAAAAACACCTAGGGGAAACTCAGTCATTGGTCACAGCCAGGATGGCTTCATGAGGGGAAACTCCTGCTTGTCAAACCTCATTTTGTTATACAACAGGGTAATTTTTTGACTTCAGGCACTTTTTTGACTTCAGCAAAGCTTTTGATACCATCTCTCACAGGATCCTTCTAGACAAAGTGGCCCACACAGAACTGAATAACGTTATGTGATGATGTTATGAATGAGCAACTGGCTCACAGGTCAGGCACAAAAGGTTGTAGTGAATGGGGTGACATCAAACTGGCATCAGGTCACTGGTAGGGTTCCACAGGCTCATCTTAGGCCCAGGTCTCCTCATAAATACTTGGATTCAGAACTCAAGGATTAATAATTTTGCTGATGACACCAAATGGGAGGAGTTCGAGGGCAAGGAGGTCCCACAGCAACACCTCGGCCAATCAGAGAGATAGGCAAGCACCAACCACAGTGTCTTGGTTTGAAAGACAGGTGCTTCCCAAGGAAGGTGGGAACCTCCCTTGGAATGGAAAATGTGACCCCCTTCCCTCCAAATTATTATAACTTTGACATTACATGGCTGTCAGGCAAAGATATGGGAAAAAGAATAACAGTTCTTTACTAGTGTGTGTATACACACACATACATATATATAAGTATGTGTACACACATAAAAAAACAACAATATATACATATATATACACACACATACATATATATATGCACATGTACACACATAAAACAACAACAACAGTGGGAGTGACCACAAACAGAACCAGAAACCCAGTAACAGCCTTCTCTCGACTGTGGCACTGTCCCCTTTGGTGCAGTTACAGTCACAGCCAGCAGGGGCACTGTTGGCTCCCGGCTGGGCAGGGTACATGTGATGAGTCCCCCACACCTGGAGGGGGCGCTGTGGCATGAGCATGGTGGCACAGCCAACGGGAGAGATAGAAAGGGGCTTCCTTCACAAACTCATGGGAGGCAGCTGGTCCTGGTGCCCCTCTGGATGATGAAATGGACTGCAGCAGGAACCGCAGGCAGGGTATAACTGCAGGCAGGCACAGGATATCAGGTTTAAGTGTAGCAAAAAGCTGGAAGCAGCAGCAGAAAACAGCAGCACTGGGCAACGGCAGGCGGCTTTCTGCAAGCAGCTGCCGCAAACACGCAGGAGACACTCCCTCCAGAAGTGGGAGGGGGTCAGGGTCCTGGGTTTTCCCCTGCAGCACCCAAGTGGATGGTGAGGGTCCCTTCCAGTGAGATGGGGTGTTGATAAGGTCCAAGTTCAAAAGTCACACTTACCAGCAAAGGCTCACCCGTGGTAAGGAAAAGCAGTGCATGACAGAACTCTGCATTGACAATGAATTCTCCCCGCAGCAGCAGCCCAACTGTCTACCCTCCAAGAGTGAGAGAGAACAAGGGACAAGCCCAGCCCCTCATTCCCCAGCCAAACTCTCACAGTATCTCTGCACTTGCTAAGAGAAGGCCCTCCAGCTAAGAGACTGCAGCCAGCTGCACCCCTTTCCCCCATTTTGGCTGCATCCTTCGTTTCTTTCAAGTACCCATTGTTCTGGTCTCTTAGGCAACAAATGGGAAAAGAATTCCCTAAGAAAGAAAAAAATTGAACAAATCCTAACCTCCAACACATATGAAGTTTAACAAGGGCAAGTGCTGGATTCTGCACTTGGGATGGGTCAACCCAGGACGTACAGACAGACTGCAGAATAAGACACTGGAGAGCAGCACCACGGGGTCCTGGCTGATGGCAAGTTGAATGTGAGTCAGCAGTGCCCGCACAGACAGGAGGGCCTACTGTGTCCTGGGTACATCAGGCACTGCATCACCAGCTGGACAAAGGAGGGGATTGTCCTGCTCTGCTCTGCACTGCTGCAGCCTCACCTCGAGTCCTGTGTGCAGTTTTGGGTGCACAGTATAAGAAAGATACAAAACTGTTAGAGAACCCCCAAAAAGGGCAGCCAAGATAGTGAAGGGGCTGGAGGGAAAGCTGAACAAGGAGCAGATGAGGTCACCCATCTGTTCAGCCTGGAGGAAACTGAGGGGAGTCCTCATTGCAGTATGAACATAGTGACAAGGGGAAGTAGAGAGGCAGGGGACTGATCTCTTCTGTGGTGACCAGTGACAGGACCCAAGGGAACAGTCAGTCAGGGGAGGCCTGGACTACGTACATATATAATTGAACAACATACATATATAGTTCGGGGACACCCCGGGGTGCCCCCACCTCAAAACGCACCACAGCATATATCTATATTTTACACGTAATTATTCACTTTGAAATAACACACGGCAAACCATTAGTAAATTACTTCTCCCAAAATCCTGTGTTAGTTCTCTGAGTGACAAAAACATGCACAACAGGTGATTTTAGCCTACCATCCATTTCTGGATATGAGCCCATTTTCTATCATATAAATGCTGAGAAAACTATAGAATGTAAAAAGAAAACCAAACAAAACATTTAAAATGTAAGTTATAGTCACCACACAAGATTGGATTCCTAAATTGAACACTCAGAAAGATCTACAGAATAATAGCAGATATTAATAGCAATTCAAAAATCTCAAACTGTGGTACAATGAGAATCGTATAAAATTGAGGCAAAAAATGTTCTGCATATTTCACATATTACCACAGAAAAAAACCCCACAACAACCAAGTATGAGCATTACATGGATTTGAGTGCAGTCATGACAAATAATAAATTCTCAGTGTTTTACATGCGATGTCAAAACCTGAATTAAATGCAACAACTATGCGATAACTAGACTGCTGAAAACCTAGTTTCTAGGATTTTTTTTTCTCAAGATATGCAAACTTTCTTTAGGAGAAACATATGGAGCAACACACAACTGTACGTGTAAATATTACTCCATTTAAATATTTTTTTAAAAGAAAGATCTTTACAACAGGTATTTACTGTGAATCCTTTCAGTATAATCCAATTCTAATGCTGAAAATACTTGTACAAAACTGAATTATACTAAAAGACAAAATCTTACGGAAATGCAGAAATAAAATACTTTACGAATTTTTGTAAAGGTTTGCAATAATTCCTGGTGAGTTACACTACCTCTTTTTGCTGTCGCTCCAGCTCTCTCATACGTATATCTCTTGCTTCTGCTCGAGCTGCCCGTTTTGCTGCAAGTCTGGCTTCTGCCTACAAGCAGATGGAAAATAATTAAAGTTCAAAAAAAAGTTTTTTGAATAATGGTTTGAGTACTCAAATCTCTTCAAAAGTACACATCAAGATTTTAACATCATAATATGGAAGTAATAAAGAATGAAATTTCAAAAAGAATATGTACCTAACTCTTTAAAGAGAGCATTGCTAGTCAAAAGAATTAGATGATCATTTAAAAAGTCAGAGAACGGCTTGGGTGTGAAGGGGCCATAAAGATCATCTAGTTCCAATGCCCAGATCAGGTGCCATCAACTAAACCAGGCTGCTCAGTGCTCCATCCAACCTGGCCTTGAACAGTTCCAGGGATGGGACATCCACAACTTCTCTGGCCAACCTGTTCCAGTGGCCAGGAACTCCACACTCCCCTAGTAAGAATTTCCTTCTAACATCTAATCTAAACCTACTCTCTTTTAGTTTAAAGCCATACATTCCCCTATGTCCTAACACTATCTGCCTTTGTAAAAAAACTCACTCTCCCTGTTTTCCATAAGCCTGTTTCAGGTACTGGAAGGTCACAGTGAGGTCTCCGCAAATACATCTCTTCTCCAGGCTGAACAGCTCCAGCTTTCTCAGCCTGTCTTCATAGGTGAGGTGCTCCAGTCCTCCGAGCATCTTTGTGGCCATCAACAACAACTTCTCCCAGGCTGGACTCACATCTGAGATTGCCCTGACTGATACGCAGTATGTTGTACTTGGACTTGTTGAACTTCAAGAGGTTCTCATGGGCCCAAATTTGTCCATGTGGCTCTGGATAGCATCCCATCCTTCTGTTGTGCCAACTGCACCACTCTGCTTCACAGATCTGCAAACTTGCTGACGGTACACTCAATCCCACTGACAGTCATTGATAAAGGTATTAAACAGCCCTGGGAATATGAGGGAAACAATTTTGCCATATAGCTGAAGTTTGAAGAAAGCACAAGCTCAGTTTTTTCATATTTGAATAATGAGTTGACAAAAATTCTCTCAAATTCTTCAAATATTAAACCACTGAAGACAGGTTTTCCACCAAAGATTCCAGTTGCCTATGTAATGTTAATTAAAAGCTTTTTGAGAATCAGCAGCAGCTAAAAATTCAGAACTCCTAACAACCAACCAATTATAGAAGTTCTTAAAATGTAACACCCAACGGATTTTTTGCTTTTGATTAAGGATAGAGTTTTCCTTGCTTTTGCCACTGTCACAGTAAATGTTTATGTCAAACATTGGAAACCTACAAAACTGTTTTATTGTGCTTCAGGAAAATGAAACAGGTATATAACTTGGGAGTTTAACTTCAAATTATGATTAGACTACAGGCACAAAAATATCAAATAATGACAAGACAGAAGGCAGACTCACTATCGCTTTATTACTCAAAATAGTTTGTCTTAACTCCAAATGACTTGTGAAGACTTTTTTTTCTGAATTTTGCATATGCAGATAAAATAATTCCAAGGTTGTGTCAACACTCCTGACTGCCATAACATAATCATTTTTCAAAGCAGCATAAAGCTACTCTTCTTTCTACCTGATAACACACAAGTAAAGCAAGGAAATTGCCATGCAAGAGGAAGTAATTCCATTATTGCTCTGTGGCATATAAACTTTCACACTGACAGGTATACAGCACAGAAAGAAAAAGGACTCAAAGAGCTGATAAGTTTGGGTTTAGCTTTGTCTATAAAATAGCAGATATATGCATTTGGCCTTTATGCTCTGGCAAGGCTTTACTGTTAAGTTACAAATTTAATACAAAGATAATACTGTTAAGATACAATGTTAATTGGTTTACTGATTCATGTTAAAAATCAATTCACATTTCACTACTCTCCCCTAGTCGTACACCCAGAAACCTAACTTTAAATTCCTACAGTAAAAGGGAAGCTCAATTTCTTATCATTTACTAAACTCTTGATAAAACACAAGTGAATTTACAAATATTTCTCATAAAATGGGTGCCAGAAATAGAAGAAAAAGAAAATCTTATCTTTTTAGATTTTTCTTAAGAAATGGCTTAAAATTATATTAATTTGTAACCTGAGCAACCAGATTCCTGTAAAATGCACACAATCTCAAAAAAGACAAAAACCTTAGCAAGTTAACTAAAAGGACAGCTCTCAGGCTTCCTCCACCATACTTCAGAGCAATAGACACGTTGCAGTACCATTAGAAAAGCCGTAATACCAAGTAATTCTTAGTGCTCTGTTAGAGCACAGATTGTAGCAGTCACACAAGTTTTCATAGCTATGTTATTGAAATTCAGAATCAACAATAACAGAGAAACAACCATAATTCAAAAGGACACAGTTTTCTTCCCAGGCTATTCACTCTGTTGCTTTACTGAAAACGCCCGTGAAAGTCATGAAACAAATTACCACCAACAAATCCTTAACAAAATATTTCATCTGCTGCATTGAAATAAAGTCTTTAAATATCTGCTATGGAAAATGTAGAGTCACAATAGCTTTGGATAAAGTTTGCACTACAGGGGCAGAACAGAAACACTAGACTGCTCATTTTGGGTTTTTTTAAATAAACCAGCAAAAGTAGAGGCAGTCATGCTCTCATGCTTTTCAATTCAACTAGTATTTCACTTGAGAGGGCATATGAAATGCATCCCTATTCATTGCTCATAGTACCTTGGGAGCCAATACAGATTGCTTTCTACAGCCTGCATTAAAACAAAGTCCAATCTTAGAAAAGGATAGACTGGCCACTACAGTCCTGATTTCAGTTTCACTGGTCATTATTCTCTATACAGTCTTTAGACCAGACACACATTAATAAAATATATTATGATAAGTATCCATTGTAATATTATCTAATTGAAGTACAGCTTATTATAAAGTGATAGAACACACCAAGCTTCTATTTTTCTGAAGTAAAAATTCAACTGTGTATTGTCCAAGATCTAGCAACTCTGACACTATTTCAGAAGCTTCCTAAGGGAACTTTCAACTGATAAAAAGAAGTGGGATAGCTGAATTTTCTTGAAGAAATAAGATATGAGGTATTTAAACCTGGTACACTTACACTAGTGGCTTAAATGGAAAGAATGTTATAAAATCTGGAGGACACACAGGCCATCAGGTAAAGATACAATAATTCAGTATGGAATTTATTCAGAGAATTGATCAAAAAGGGACATAGAAGACTACAGAGGAGATCTTTGTAACAAAAGAAATTGGGTAGGAAAACAAGAAAGAGGTCCTTGAGAATTTACTTGGGTAAGAAAAAAGGACTAATTAATAAATTATTAATTTATAACTAAATATTTAAACTCTCTTTTGTATATGAACACACTCATACTACTCATATTTACCTTCTACTCTGGGACAAATTTGTGTTTTTAAACTAATCCTGTATTTCTTTGGGTATTAGCTCTCGTCTAAGTAACAAAACAAAGCAATCTGTTCACCACTGAGTTCTGGAATTCCTCATTTCAAAATAAATACCAAAAACCATTACATGAACAAAAGAAAACCCCAGTGTTTTCTTGTACCTGCATAAAAAGCATTTCATTCTAGAAAATTATTATCCTGGCTGTTTTCAAGCAGTTAAGCACAACCTTACAGCAGTGTTCACTTTGATTGGTTTATTTTATTTCCTACAGAAGTAGAAAAACAATACTCTTCTTCCAGGAGGTAGCACAGTTTCCTGATTTCCACCTAAAAATCAATTGTTATAAGCTATTTATAGTAATTTAGAAAGCTATCTCTACTTCTTCAATTTTTTCAACTTTGTTTTTAAATATGTATTCTACCACAATCTTTTGAAGACTTTTAGCTCAACTTTCAAGGACAACATGTAGTTCTTCAGTTAAATCAAAAATATTTTTGGCAAGAAAGAAAAAAAAAAAGGAAGATGAAACTTTAACTTGAATGCCTTTGTAAAGATTGAGTCTGGAGTCTCTCCTTTCTGTTGCATTTTTCTTAGTCTCTTCATAGCAACAACCATGTTTTTTCCCAGGTAAGCAGTATGATATTAACACAGAATTTATGTGGTAGAGGCTTCCCTCCATGTTGAGCAGGGAGAAGCATAACATCTATCTCCATAGTGTAGATATGCATCTTTTTCCTTCCCTTGCCTGCAAGAAGGAATTCACTAGAAAGCAACAGTATTTTATTTTTAATTTTTATATTCGGGAGACAGTGATTCTTTAATTAGCTTGGATTCAGCATAAAAGCTGCATAAGGTTAAAATACAGGCTATCCTAAAATGTTATTCACCTCTGAAAAAATCAGAATTATTTTGTCATCATGGGCCGATGTATACATATCACATAGAACTCGTTTCTCTTTCTGTTAAGGGATATGCAGTGCCTGCAGTTCCCAATGCAGGAGGCCCGGTTAAGGAGCATTTTACTTCTTCCACCAGATGGCAGCGGTAAGGGCACTGACTGCCCCTGCTGTGGGACCCACTGCTCCCTGTCTGCCATGGGCACATGGAACGGCACTAGGACACCCTGTCAGCTCTGGCTAAGCATCAGGGTGAGCATTTTAAAAATGTTCACTGTAATTCTTATAGATAACTACGTGTAGCAACTTAATTTCACCTTTTCTCATCAAGCAAACAAAGGATTCTGTGCCCAATTCCAATCCCCCATGGCAGGGGCGTTAGAATTTGATGATCTGTAAGGTCCCTTTCAATTCAAAATTTTAGCTCAACTATGATTCTTTCTGCTGCTCAATTTTTCTGTATTCTCATTCCCATGCTTTTTGCCCTTATCTCCATAATGTCTCATGAAATCAAGGCAAGACCACCACTTAGGTGCCAAAAGTATTTCTTACAGCTCCTCAGAAATCTCTTTTCCATTTACATCTCATGTCTCTGCCCCAGCTGCCTACAAACAACAGAATCTTACATTTTAACGTGACTTAAAGATTTCAGAGTCTTTACTTCTGATGTCTCATTCTTCTTCCATATATTGTACAGATTCACATATATATTATTATAGCTCTAGAATATCTTATATCCTATAAAATATCCTTAACCACTTTTAAAAACAAAAACGAACAGGCTTTGAATTAATACTAAAGTAGAAATAGCCAATTGAAAATATTTAGTGACCTCTTACCAAAACAAAATAAACAAATCACCTAGCATCTACAAAGACAATATCCATGAGGATAGAATTCTTTGGGAGTTTGCTTGCTTTCTAAACAGAAGCTGAACCCACATGAAGAGAAAAGCATGTACTAAACTTTAAATAGATTCATATGAAAAACACTGTTGTTAGCTGCTTCTAAATTCATTATATAGCCCTCAAACATTTAAAAATATTCAATTCAGCTTTTTCTATCATGGCAATTAAGTAACATTACATCTCCATCAAAGTAAGAACAACTGCACTCTACTCACAGTTGAGCTACTACAAAGTGAATTTTAAATCAAAATGAATCTTTATTCTCTCCCATGGGAAAACACCTTACGAGTTTTCCACGTTCTTGCTATGTAGTGAAAACAGTCACAAGAACAATTCCTGAGAAAAAGCCCACCAAACCAAAACACAGAGACAACATTCTACAAGGTAGAAACCCAGTGAACACTGTTGCAATGTTGCTTGTCCACAACCTCTAGTTCTCTGTCACCTAGTAACACAGCCCTGAAGAATGGAAGAGCTGTTGATACTAACACCCAAAAAAAGGCTACGAATGGTAAAACCTGATTGTGCCTTCAAACTCCTGTTTAGCAGGTTGAGGATGGTGAGATGATATGTGTCAGACTCTTATCACTCTCTGCCATGATACTCATTATATCTGAGCATGAACCACAGGCAATGTAAGAACACAGAAGCGACTGAAATCTCTGTTCTCACATAAACTGGTTTTGGAGAAAGAGGTCTCATGTAATCCTAAAAGATGGTGATGACAGGTTACAGCTAAATATCTAAAATTAACAATTTGTATGAAAATACAGACAAGTAAAGCAGCAACGCACAACCCAGCAAATGATATTCTGTCCACAAAAGAATTTAATAAGCAGAGAATCCCCACAACAAAGACACAAGGAAAACATCTTGCAATCATATCTGCTGTATTCAATGTAGACTGTGAACATAACCTTGAGAATATGAACCTCAATTTTCATTTATATAGTTATGTGGGAATTTTCAAGCAGTTAAGTCTTTTTGTTTAACAAATGAGAATATAATGTTGCCAGGAGCGTGAAGTTACACTAGACAATCATTACCTGCACTTTGGGAAGCTCAAACTTTGCATAAGATACATGAAACTATCTTCTACACCAGGTGACTTATTCTTTGTCAATCTTAGAAAGCTAACAGTTTCAGAATCCATTATAAAAGCTGGAGAAAGAACCAAAAGGTCATATAAAGGAACCCTGTATTTTCAGGAGATAGGCTTTTTCTTTTTCTTCTAAGCGATAAGCTGACTTCTAATTAACCTGGCTATAATTAGCACTACTCAATTTTAATGTAGTTGGGTGTTTTTAAACCCATAGCTCCATTATTTCCTTTCAGGGAACACAAGGACAATATATCTACACCTGCTCCTGCAACTTTTGAAAAAAGCATGTGTGTTTTAAGTTTTATCTCTTTACATTATCAGTAGGAAAGAAAAAGAAAGTGTTAGGGAGGCGGGGGGGAAGAAGTGTTCTGAAGGTTTTATTGTTATTATTCTTTTACTTTCTGTTAATGTAAGTTTTCTTTATACCCTTTTAAAGTTTCGAGTCTGCTTTGCCCTCTCCTAATCCTATCCCACAAGGAAATAAATAAGTATATTTAGTAAGTGCACTGGCATTTAGCCAGCACCAAACCCACTACATTACTTAGTGTGTTGGCCAAGAAATCTCAAATTGGCAAGCCAAAACCACCACACAAAATTGGTGTTCAAACTAAAACTACGACAGCATGATAAACTGTTGTACCAGGATAAGACTGCCAAACTGATCAACTGCAAGTACTCTCACTTCAGACACTGTGAAACAGGGAGAGTGCACTGCTTCCAAGAAAGGATGCACAGATGCCCTGTCCCTGTATATGTACATCACCTTTACTCTTCCTCAGTTCCAGTAAGCAAGGAAATTCAATGCCAGGAAAAATAATACACCGTAGTATAAAAAGTAGGTCCCTAAGAAAGGGCTTTAGCAACTCAAAAGATCTTGGAATAAGGCAGAAATAAAGGGGAGGGGACAACCAACAGAGGAAAAATGTTTTCTGATGCGAAGGAAAGATGCAAAAAAACCAAAGAAATATCAAAGAGGAAGCAGTCTGACCAAGTACATTCTAATTCTAATGGAAGTTCTCACTCTATCAGCAAAGTCCTGTGTGGGACTCTGGATCATGTATGATCTCACTCATCAAGTTCCAGATGCACCTCAGATGCTAAAGGTGCCCTTATCTTCCATTAAATATTTTCATATAAAATGACATCAGAATCAACTGGTGCAGAAAAATGGCTATATGGAAATGAACTTAGTAGATCAGTGCCAAAGAATTCTTTAAACCAAATTTCCTAGAAAACAATGTTTACTGGCACTAAAAGGAAGATATCTTCTTTTTTTTTTGACACATGCCATAGAACAAGGAAATCACAATTTTGTCAAATTAAAAGCGGAAACAAAGAATAAGAATAGCACTTTCTGAAATCTGAACTTTTAGAGAAAAAACACCTTGAAATGTTGCACACTACATTAGAGTCACTTTACTACATTTCTTCGTATTACAAATTCCGACACTTCCTAGTGCCATTTTGTGACTGCTCTCAGTCCCAGAGCACTTTTATGCAGTTTCACCACTCAGATCATCCTGAGTGCAGCCTTTTGTTTCTGCATATTCTGTTTACCATCTCTTAATACCTAGAACACTTCTTTAGGAAGATTTTCCACAGAAGACACATGGATTACAGAATTCAATATAATTCTAGTAAGTAATGTCTTCTAAAAGGATGGGATGTAAGACAACTAAGCCAAACAGTAATTTTAAGTAAGAGAATATGTATTACATGTTACTTACTATTGAGAACCTTTTCTAGGTTAAACGACAAGTTGATGTTATGGAAGCATGTATGTACTCAAAGAAATTTAAGGCCATATTCTTTCTTTTTTACTCACTGTTTTTGCCAAAAAATGAGTGATAGAACTTGATGAGTGAGATCATACATGATCCAGAGTCCCACACAGGACTTTGCTGATAGAGTGAGAACTTCCATTAGAATTAGAATGTAACTTTCTGAAAAGTTACCAACTATTTTTTTTTTTTTTAACTGACAAGGCATATCTTTTGCCTACAGTCTATGATAGCTTATTTAGGCATTTTCAAGTGTATCTTTCTCTTCAGAGACCTATCACCTACCTACTTTGTCTTACATACACATATACAGACAACTACTTACATTACAAAACCAATTAGAATCTGTATTTTGCAGTCCTTTATGTCAACTAGGGCAAACAGCCTTTTAGATAATGCAGCCCCAAAGAACCTGGATTCACTTGTATACAAACAATATTAAGGCTTTTGTTCCCTAGTCACAGCATTTCCACCTAGAAAAACTCTGGTCCAAACAGACATCAACTGCCTAAATCCCATGGGACAAAATTCCCCTTTGTATCAACTTCTTGTTAATTGCACTATTTGCTGGTTATCTCTAGCCCTCTTTTTTTTAGGTGGTGGAATTCCTGGTACAGTGTACATATTAGGCTTATTTGGAAAGAAATGTGACTTCTCACATTTGAAATAGATTCTATTACAAATATATTTTAATAGCGACTACTACCCATTCAATACCAATACACTATACTTACCATCTTAAGAATATTACACACTGTAATAGGATAAATGTGTACATTTTTCAGTTTTACACTTGAGATAGCAGCTGTATTTTTCATTTATCTTGAACCATCTGTAGAAATAGCCGCTAGGCTTAAGGGTAAATCTGTGAGGTTACACTAGTCATACAGTTAATATCTGACTGTTGACATTTCAGTTAATGTGATTTTTTGATCAATAATTTTCTTAGCTTGTATTAATTGCCATATTTTTGGCTAATCACAGTTTTTTATGCACATCTATAAAAAAATTAACTTTTCCTAGATAATGAGATTACTTTCATCCCTATTTCTGAATTCAAGACACTTTAAAATGAGCAAACCTCTCTGGCAATGTTGCTTAGAGCTTCATCTTCTGCAGAAAATCTGTCTTTCACTGGAGTTCTCTTCCGTCCTGATCCAGGAGTTCCCATTTTTATTCTCTGAATCTGTATTTGAAAACACAGATAGGACAAAGCTCAGTTTTAATTAAGATCTGGAATTAAAAATAATCAACCAACTTGCATGCCAAAATGTCCTAAATTTTCCAATCTTTAGCTACATAATACTCAAGATATCTACGTGCAATTGGCATGTAATGGTAAAATTTTATGACAAAAGCTTGTGGTAGCATTACAGAACACCACTGCATCCTTCAAAGTACACATATAGAATTTTTCCACTGATCAGAACCCATCAGTTTACCTGCAGTTTCAAAGTCAGGCACAGTTGTAAACTGCTCCTGGCTCAAAAAGAATACCTCTGTTTTCTGTCGATTTATGGAACTTCTAAAAAGATATATCCATTTAAGTTACAGATGTTGAAAAAAAAAAACCCTATAGACAACGAAGTGTTCAAGAATTAAATTTGCATGATCATTAGAGTTCTCCTCAACGCAGAAAAGACTCAACAGATAAACTTTACTAAGCATCCAACAGGTAGATGTGACTTACATTTTAACATAGCTGTTCTCATGCAACTGAACTGCTGTCTTCTAAAGCAGAAGGTTTACTATAGCAGAAATAGATACCCTTATGCAAAAAACTCCACTCTTTTACCTAATAAGACTCTCAAACTCGGAAATGAAGAGAGAAACATACTACCATCATATACCCTTACTTTTCACCCAGAAATCTCTTATGAATTGCAAGCATATAAAAATGACCAACAAAACAAAACACAGCCCATGCAGACACAATCAAAAAAAAAAATCAAAAAACACAACTATAAATGTTTTTTTCAAATATCCTAAAGAAATCCTACTTCCAGACATCCAGCTCCTCTCAAATGTCAGCTAGAATCTGGTGGTAGTCCAGCTATTTTACAAGATAAGTATCCTACACAGGGTTTGAGAAAACACCTTAGTTATAATAAAAACTTCGATTTGCAGGAAGAAGAGATCTAAAAGGTATCTAGTATTGACTATCCTTTTGAAACTGAACTGGAACAACTACCTTTCTTACTGGATCTGACTAGCAAAGACTCAGTAACTGATTATAGTTTAGTCAAAAAGGAAGGAGGAAAAAACCCCAAAGTGATGGCTATTTTTGTACAAGCAGAGATTTTACTTTGTTACTTTTACACAGCAATCACAAAGCCAAAATATATTGAGGTATTTTCTGGCACTGAAAGACACGAAGTAGCATCATAAGATTTTTTTTTTCACTTATATTTTAGCTTCTACACCTTTTCATCACCCTTCCTGTAAGAACTTTATACTATTACTCCTTTCTTTTCCTTGCAAGCAAGAAGATTTTTTTACTCTGCTTCAAATTTTACAGGTATTTTACTATTCTTCATCTGCTCAGTATTGTCACTGCTATTCTATTTAGTAAGAGTCCGTATTTTTAGTCTTAAAAAGAAGGAAGTAAACTTATGTCTTGTACTCAAGTAAATTTAGACAAATATATGCACAAACAGTTTGGAGATCTCCGTGGCAAGGGTTTAAGCGCAGAACTACAAGCTGCTGTCCACATTCTGAATGTCTCAAAAAAACTGCATCTTTTTTCAGTAATTCTTATTAGCTGACTTCACATATTAAGAGCAACTAAAAGTTACATGAACACAAAATAATACTACCCGTACTACAGAAGGCTTTAACAATGTTATACAGCCACAAGAAAAATCATGAAATGTTTATTACAATAAATAGGTTCATATAAGAACAGAAATCCAATCTATCTACTAAAAAGTCACTAAGCATAAAATTATTTTAATTGACACATTAAAGGCTTTAAAAAGTACTTACCACATAAGTAAAAACTGCAGAATAACTGCACATACCATAGACTTGAACTGCATTTGTTGACATCCTCTAAACAACATACCATTTCTAATAGACAACAAACTTTGATTTGTTAACTCAGTGAAATGCTCTTAGCTGGCAGACTGATTTGGGGAATGTAATGGTTTCTAGCTAAAATATAGCTAATTTTAGTACAGTTATGTCCAGTTTACAGGAAGTATTAATTTGCAGAGGACTAATTTCATAAAAATTAGATGCTGATGCTTTAAATTAGGAAAACACACTACATTTCAGTCACTGTGGAGGAAGGCAAGTGTGGCAGCGATCTACCACGCTTCTCAACTAGACTGAGCACAGAACTCCTGACTGAGCCCAAATACACAAAAGGGAACAGGACAATTACCCAGAAGGTATACAGAGATGATGCCTTTGCCTACAAGGAAGAATTAAGAAAATCAAAGCTCAGCTGAAGCCAAAACTAGCAAAGGCTGATAAGGACAAAGAGAAAGGCTATTCTAAGGACATGGGGAACACAAGAAAGACTAAGAAAACTTTAGAGCCGCTGTTTAGTGACACAGGCGAGAGTGGTGGGTGCTTGCCAAGTCCCACCCTTGGCAGAATGGTCTGGATAATAACAAATGTGAAGATGGGAATCTATGTGCGTGAATGAAATAAGCAAAACTGTCTGACAGGGTACAGGCCCCCAAACCTGGTCATGTTACAGAGCAAGAGGCTTGTCAATTACATTAAACAGAAACTAGGAAATTAGACAGAAGCAGTTGTTTGAAGTAAAGGAATCTTCTTGAAAATAAAACCAAAGTCAACAGTAGTGACAGTAGCAATAACTTTGGAAAGATAACAGCATCAGTAAAACCCAAGTTTGATGCTGTCAGAAGTCACCCCACTGACTGCATGGTATCTGCCCAGGCTAAACCAATACAGCATCCCTCCTAGTGGATGCAAGATCCTGTACTCCAGCTAGCAGGTGGTCAGTACACACCTTAAGCATGTGAATGTGAGCTTGTCAGGTATGCTATCACTGGCATATGCATTGGGACATAGCACAGCACATATTAGAGAACAGCACAGATACCCACAAATCTAGAGTGTCCACATCTCCAGCAGAAATCATGTGTAAATAGCGGACACTGCAGTTGAAGAACAGAACAGTTAAACACCAGCCTAGAGAGGCTGTGAAATGTCCATCCCTGAAGATGGTAAAAACTTAACTAGAAATAGCTCTGAAAAACCTTTTCCAATTGACAATACTTTGGGCAAAGGATGACCTCCAAAGAATCTTCCTAAAATAAAATACATGGTTCTACACTTATTATTGTTCTCAATTTTGAAACTACACCTCAGTATAAGTTTTCTTTAATTAGATGTTTTAATATTTCTTCAAGAGTCTTGTCACCATTCCTTCCATTCCATTTAACTTTTAATTAGGCTGACATATGTCAGAGTATTTAATTTCTTGTTATTAAGTTCGGTACTACAGAAACCTAGATATATTCCTAAAATGCTAATTAGCCTAATACTATAAATATCATTGTTACTTCTCAGGAAAATATAAGATATCAATACTTCACAGACATGCAGAAATACTTTTGAGATGTTTCACTTCAATAACTTTCTGATTACATAAGAAGTTCTTTTTCTGCATGGGATAAAGAATTTAGTACATGCTATCACATTAGAATTTTCACAAAAACTAAGAGAACACCAAAACAAAACCAGACAAAGAACAGTTTGCTATTGTCCTTTATGGTTTAGAAAGATAGATACAAAAGGAAAGAACACTATAATATCTGCTGCATTTACAGTTAAAAATTCCTGAGACACATCTATTACATGCCTAATTCTATAGGCATGGTAGCACATTGTATTACACAACCGATGAAGCGGCATCCTCTTTCATTTCATTCCAAAACACGGAAGTGTCTGAAGTCCCCAAACAAAACAGAAGACCTGAGATGAAATCCTTCAAATGCCCTCTCATTTGTCTCCACTTCAGGCATATATACATTTTATCTCTTCCACAAGTCTTTGCTGTCTAGTCTCCTCCATTTTACCTTCCGACTAAAGGTTCTCCTTGTCTCTTTTTTGCTTCCTAGAAAAAAGTCTGATTTGTCTTACAGAAAAAAAATAAGCTACACTACAAGTTCAGGGCCTATCACTTACTACCTCAAATGGCACCACCTGTTCTAAATGCCTGGGTGTATGCCAGCATACTTGGCATTACATACATAGGATCCAGATATCTTAGTGTGAACAGGCTATAAATAACAGACCAAAACTCCCCTTTTCTCTTTCAAGCAAGGCTACAAGATCACTAAAATTCACCTGTGTAGACACCATCTCTGTATAATTAATTCAACAACACTGAGAAGAACAGCACTGCTCTAGAACTAATGTCTTTTAGCAACTGAATCTGAATGCAGTAGTATTAGTACTACAACAGCTGCAGTCATAATTGAGAAGGAGCATAATGATATTGGAAACCACAATCTTGTTTGCTTGATCTTCAATCTTTGTCCAAGCAAACTTCAAAGGATACAAAGCAAACAGACAAAGAAAAATTTTTAATTATGCAAGACAGACACAAGAGTCTTCTTCAGAGGAAAGACCCCATACAAGGGTACTCTCTTTGCAATTAATGTTTGCACATAGGTCCAAAACCACCCATGAAAGAAAAAGGGCTGCATGATCATAGGGTGACCATGATCCAACAAAGGGGCATGTAGGAAGAGAGAGAAATACATTAGGTTTTAATGCACTGAGAAAGAAATAGTTTAAAAGCAACAATTTTAAGGACTCATTTGGAATTTTCACTCAGAATAACCTTGTTCAGAATATTAACTGAAACAAGAACTATTGCCAAAAAAGAGCTGCTACTATGCGTGAAAGAGGCTAACATTAAAGGGAAAATGCAAAGACTGAGAAAAGCATATAATTACAATCTGCCAAAAGATTACAGTGCTTACAACTATATTGGAGGCAAAGATATTCCAGCTGATGAATAGTGGTTCTGTTTTAAGACATCATTCATCTCTAATCATGGCCCACTTCAAAAACTGTTAGCACAAAGTTTCTGCTCTGAGTGGACAAGCTTATGTCAGCTTTTTCAGGAAAAAAACTTACTCTTTAGACAACTGCACAATCCACCCCCTTAATGCAGTATATTTGCAGTTTACTTGCCATTTTAAAATCTGAGAAATACAATTTCTTAGGAGTTTATGGTATTTAGCAAGAGAATTACAATTCCTTAGAAGGAGTTGGAAGTCCCTCAGTTTGCTGGTGTTATGAAGTTAGAGACCAACAGAAAGTCCCCAGTTAAAACAATCAAAAAGCCATTATGCAGCTTGCAAGAGTCTGCAAGTGCCTGATGTATCCATGAAGTGAACAGTGCCTGACTAGCACTGGCACACATAAAGCATTGAAAGACAGTCAATGTACTAGAAGCATCCTACAGCCCTGTAGAACTACGAGACACTTCTAGACCTACCAAGCTGTCTTGGGTGGACTTCACCAGTCTTTGCAAATTACCAAATTTCCAAAACAATGTCTTAAAATTTCAAGTGGTGGCAACTTGTTTTATGAAGTATGACTTCTCCACCAGTCAGTTTCCAACAGCTGCAACTGCAGATACCATTACTGCAAAAAATACATTACATACACAATATTATCATCAGTTACAGGCAGCATCTGGAAAGCTCTTATAATGGTGACTCACCAGAGGATCTCTAGGGGCACAATATAAAGCATACATAACTTTCAGAAAAGCAGTATAACACGGATTGACTTTTCTAGAATCAGTGCTACTATAAATGCTGACAATCCAGGAACAAACTAAGAATTAAAATGGAACTTTAAAACATAAGGGGATGACAGTACTAAAATGAGCACTATAAAAAATTATGAAAAGGCATAATTAAAAAAACCCCACAAGGCTCTTCCAGAAGTGATTATTCTAAAATGAAGAAACCATCATTTTTATACTGTCAGCTTTTCTAAAATGAGTACCCTGACATTTTGCAAAAGAATGATTCATTGCTCATTCAAAAACCAAACACTGCTGCTATATTGAGGCTCCACTTTTTTTTTTTTTTAATGAAATTGAGTGCCCCATGGTAACAACCCACATGCTGTAACAAGTTGCAACTATTTAAAATATTTTTCCCCCACCAATTTAATACAGTCCTACCCCCTTTCCTACTCATGCTACAGTTACAGTACAATTAAGAAAAGCTACTGCAGCAAGGGAAAGAAATTGTCCTGGGTACCCCTTAGAAGAAACAGCAGCTGAAGGAAAATATCAGCTGACATCATTCCTGCTGACTCGCTCTCTGCTATGATAGCGAAGTCAGTAGGCTTAGAAACAATTATGTCCACTTGACCTTTCTTTCGTAAATACCCCTTCAGCTCTTCCCTTAAAGCAGATCTAACACTGCTGGCTTAGCTCAAGGAAATGTGAACTTTAATATCACCTTCTCAAGCAGACAGTGTTACTTACATAAACTATTTTGCAGGGCATGTAATGCATAAACACAAACTGTCCCGTACCTACAATTACACATGACCTAATTTCCAGACATTAAGATAATAAAATTGAATTACTTTCTCTGAAAGTAGTTAGTGCAGTCCAGTAGCATTACAAAAATGCTATAACTCATTACTAAAACCACACATCTTCACTTTAGGACCTTACAAACAACAACAAAGTATCAAATCTATTAGTTATTTCTTATACTCTGCTTACATTATATACTAGAGCTATTCAATTATGTATTATACTGATCTAGGTTTTTTTGGTATATGCACACGCCAACTTGCATGCTATGTGAAAATCTAGACCTTAATAAGCTCGACAGATCCCCATTACAGAGTCTAAACAGCACTTTCTGAAAGTTCACATGTATTAAAATACTATGCCATCTTCTGAGAGAAGGAGACTTAAAAAAAATAAGCTCCTCTGGAGTCAATTCACAAGAAACGCTGGTGTTTAGCTCAACAAGCTACACCTGACACATTTCACACAACCATCTTCTATTCACAAGTTTCCAGTTATAGCCAAGAATTCAGTTCAGGTAAGACTGACTTCAAATTAAGCTAAATACCTCCAAACCCAAGTAACAGGAAACAATAGGAAGATTATGTCATGTATGTCAAACAATTTTGTACTGCTAAAGAACCTTTTATCTATCCTTACGTCATCACTAAACAATTACATTAACCAAGGAAGCAAATGTATTTTAAGAAGGCAACTGTTTCTGGGCCACAACACATTTAACTACATCATTTCGCAATCAAGACACAATGAACGTTTAAAGAGCTCAGACAAACATTGATTTAATTGATTTGCCACTTTGTAGCAAACCTCCCGCCCCATATCTCTAGAGATGTTTCACCCTAATAATGATATTTTGAAGGGAGAAAATTGATCCTAGACCTTCCTCATTTCAAGCAAAGAATGCATGTAGGTCTCTCTAAAACGAGAAAATCACTGAGTATATCATATAAAGTCAACACAGTACTACTTCACCTACAAAATATTTTTCTTATCAGTGAAATACATAACACTGCCCTTCAAAGAGTCATGCTAGGATTCAAACGGAAAATCACTTAAAACACATTGAACAGATCACAGTCTGTTTTCGGGCTCCTTCCAAACTCATGAATGTGCTCATCTCTCTTATCACCCTCAACAACGTCTTTTTAATTATAGCAACAGGGTATACTAAAAATAAAACAGCGGGCTCCAAAATAAATGTAAAAAAACCAAACGACTAAGCATCAGCAAGAGTGACCGACTCCCAACGCAGCTCGCTGCAGAGGGGGCACGCCCTAGTGTTCCGGGAACAGCGAAGCCGTGGTAACGTGCTCCGAGGAAGTAGGAGAAAGGCACCGAAACACACACCGCTGTGATTTCAGCACATCTTCCTTTTTCCCTCATTTCGCCGTTTCCACTCAGCCCCCAAAGGGCGCACGGCACCTTCCCGCGGATCGGAAGGAGGGATCGCGCCCGGCGAGCACCAGCAGCCGGAAGGGCTCGGGCCAGGCCGGGCTCGGCTTCCCCTGGTCCGCCCGCACCAAGCCCACTGCGGCCACACGGAAGGGGCCGCAAACCGCCGCCCCAAGCTTCTACTTCTGCTCGCCGACCTGACCAACGAGTTCCGGTTGAGCCGCTCCTCCAAACCTGAAGAACCGGGTTCCCGCCCCGCTTCGTCGCCCGAGTTTTGTGTCTATGACACCCTTCCTCCTCCCGGCTCTCGCCCTTACCCTGCCTCGGCCCCAGGGAGTCTTACCTGCGGGCCAGCCTGCCGCAGAACCGGGACGCCTCAGGAGAGAGGAGAGAATTGTTTTACTCTTCCCTCCACCGTTTCCAGGGGTGTGAGGGGCTCGTAGATCCCGGAATCACTTCAGGATCCTTCCTTCCCTCACTCCCTGCGCCGAGATAGGGGAACAGTGGCAAAAGCCGCCCCAGGGCGACCACAGTACCCACCACACACGGACCGTCCACGGGCCGCGACGAGGGAAATGCTACCTCACTTAACCCTCTCCACCGTCCCGTACCAACCGTTCCCCGTGAGCGGTTGGGGGAACCGGAGCTGCAGGCAGACAAGCCGCTCCGCTCCAGGCCGCCCTCCTCTTCCCCGCCCCGCACTCTTGCCTCCTCCCCTTCAGCGCCAGGCGCTTACGGCCACATCGAGAACTCGAGTGAGAGACTGCGGTAAATTTCAAACCGCCTGCATGGCCTTGCGGAAGGAAGAAGGGGCCGGCGCTGAGCAGAGGTAGAGAGAGCGCAGGAGATACCACGACCCACGCTGGTACCGACAACCACCGCACTTGCGCGGCCCCCACACAGGCCAGGGGGCGAAGGGCGCAGGCGCCGCGGAGGAGAGGGCGGGACGGCGGTACGCCCGCGTGCGCAGAGCGGGCGCAGCTGCGGGGACCGCGGTGAAGGGTGGTGGGCGGTGCCGCGCCCCGCCCCGCCCGGCCCGGCCCGGCTCTGCTGCCGGCGTCCTGACCGCCTCCCCGGCGGCTGATGGCCTACTCGAGTTCCGGGTCGGCGTGGGTGACTGCGCCCTGTGGCGGCTCTTCAGCCCAGGGAAGGCGAGAAGGCGATCCGAAGGAGCAGCGCCCTCCTCTCGCCCCGCTTCTCCTTTCCTCAATAGGCAGCGAAGAGAGGGGGCGTCATTCTCTGTAGAGTGTCGTACTGCAGTGCACGCTCTCCGCCTCGTCCCCCCTTATCATCGGGCAGGCCGGCTCACTCAGTGCTGTGGTGGGTAGAGGTAGGTCTGACGCCACCTGATTTGAGCTTCGTTCCCGGGTTTAGCTAGGACTTGTTTTTATTGATCGGCGTTCCCCAGGGAACAGGCATGCGAGAGGTCCGGGAGACCGTGGCCGCCGCTAAGGAACAGCAGCGCGCCTTGCCTGCATCAGCCGCGGCCGGGCCGCTGGGAGTCGCCGCGCTCATCTGGGTGCCCAGTTCCCACCGCTTCTACATGGCACCAGAGCGTTTCGGAAGATTTACCGGATGGATATCAGACAAGGTTTATGAGTAAAAATCGTTTGCAGACATTGGCACCTTCGCTTAGACTGGCCTAAACACGATCAGACTTGTGTAACATCAAAATTTAAATACAAGTAGCCGGCATAATCCCTAAGGAAAAAATACAAGTAAAAAAGAAATTACTGTACCATCACATGTATTGCAGGTTATACACAAACAGTCATGAAAATTGATGAGATTCTGCTGTGAGATAGACTTGGGATCACACTAGTAGTAATTTGCTTTCCAACACCTCTGTAGTTAAGTGCAGGGTGTCTCTTAAGAGTGTAGAGATAATTAGAGGAGATGGCATTTGTATGTTGGAAATCACATGGAAATGAAAAAGCAATAGTTAAAGTGGCAAGCATAGTGGTAAGACTCAAAAACATGCAGCAGACAGAGTTCAAATGTCTTACTAAAATAAGCTCAAGTGGATGTGCACAGGGTAAAAAAAAGGGATATGCAAGTGATTTAAATCTATTAAAGCAGATGTATAACATATTTCTTGTGTTTCATTAGTATTTTATAATTTTCTGTGTGAAAAACCTACAGTCTCTCAGTCTTTTTCCTCATCTGATCATACAGTATAGCCTCACCATCCTAATTTTTAACATCACATTAATTTCTGTAGTAAGAGAGGATGATCTCACTGGAGGGAGGTGAAGTAAAAAGTTTCTCATGGACCGTCTATAGAAAAGACCAAAAAAAGTACTGGCTTAAAACCTTCATTTTTATTTGACATTTATTCTTGCAGAAGGACTCACCTGATGATTTTCTGGGCTTTGTAGAGAATCATCATTAAAAACATCTTGGGCTGTTTTGGTTTCCCCTGGCTGGTGGGAGGAGTCTTTTATTCATTCTTGAGTAGAGGGTTTGTGGAGAGCTTTCTGAAATGTGGCATGTCCCAGGTCTTTATGGGATCTCCAGTATAACATTGCTGTTAAAGAGGAATTTTTTTCGATCATTTGTACATTTTTCTACAATGAAGTGTTGATTTTTTCATACTGCTAGTCTTTTGATATCATAGAGGGCACATTTTTCTTTAATGATGCAGTAAAATGCATATCTCCTTGAGACCAGGCATGCATTTTTGTCTTTCATTTTGAAAGAGCAATTGTTTACTTGACTGAAAAGCAGTGTACAGTGCAGTTAAAGCAGGCAGTGGTACAGGATGGCACAGTAGCAATTCTGAATTCAGCATTTTTAATGAATTGCTAAACGTGTTATATACAGTTTCATTTATAAATCTTCAATTAGAAACCAGAAAATGAAAGTTATGTTTGAACTTTTGCTATGAAATGACTGCAGTTACAAAATGATCAATTATTTATGAATATGCCTTGATTAAATTATTACTGAAGCTAGTATAAAGCTTGCTCTATTAATAATGAGTTTCAGCTTAAAATAGGTAAATGAATGAATGAAGTATCACTGGATCTGCCTTTGAATATTTTTTCTCTTCACTGTTGTTGTTTTATACAGTAGGTTAATATAGATCACTTATCATATGTAATTAACTTGCTAATTTACTGTCTCCCTTTTCTCTGGAAATCTCTCTCTAAAACTGTTTAGCTCAATTAAGGCATTCCATGGATGGACTCTTACTTAGTCCTTTTCAGAGTGATTGTCAGCTAAGAAATTATTTCTAGGATGAATCTGTAAATGAGTTAAATGGACTACTTTGAACAATGTCAACTTCCTACAATAATATGTGTACAATTTTAAAATATTTTGTCACTGTAATAACTTCCACAAGAGAAAAAATATATTTACTTCTGCAATGTTTTCTCTTTCTGCAGTTCTGAACATCTGGTTTTTTGCTCCCACACTTTAGCATTTATAATTTTCCCATGAATCTTTTGTTTCATGATTATTGCACTTTCTGATCAAGAATGTAATAGTGTTCGCACTAAGATAAGATCATAGCGTAACTTAATTCCTGATGGCGATCTGTATTTTCCCTTCTGTGTTCTCCCTATTCTTCTTTCTCTCTCTCTCTCTCATCCCTGCCACTCTCCCTTTGTGGAATTAATAGCTTCCAGGTGTTAATTTAACTGGTAGATTGGTTTACTGATGAAGACTCATTTATTTAAGAGCACTTTAAGAAATTCTGACAACCTCATCTAATTGTTTCTGTCATTTCCATTTTGTGTCCTTCCTTTCCAGTAGTTTCCATCTCCTCAGTTCAGGTACCATCACTCAGCAATTCATTTGACACAACATACTTTATTTTTTTTCTTTTTCCTCCCCAGATGTAGTCGATCCTCTTTTGGAGATTCCCTGTATTGTTAGTAATTGCTTGTTCACCCTTCCCTATAAAAGGGGTGTTACAATGTGGGATATGGATTGTGTTTGTTAAAAGGTGATAATGGTTCTGTTTACCAGAAAGCCCTGTGGGAGGGCACAGCAGCAGGCTGGGTGGTTGGATGTGAAGCAGTTGTGGGAAGAGATGCATGGACAACATGTGAGCAGGAAGCTGATTGGCTGGTGAGATGCATGGAATAGCAGCACTGCAGCTGAGCAGCCAATGGGTGCCCTTCTTCTGTTAAGTTTTGCTTATGTCCACTGGAAGCTAAAGGTATATATGGGAGGTGTTTTCTACAATAAAGCCATTTCCTTCATATGCACAAGGAGGTTGGGGTGTCTTTGTTCCCCATTGCTACCTTGTAATACTCCCCTGTGACAGGTGCAAAATCAACTTTTTGTGTCTACACTGGAAAATAAGTGTAAACCGCTTTTGTAATGTAGGAAGAAAGTCTTGGTTTTTTATTTGTTTTGCTTTTCAAAACAATTATTGGATGTGCAAACAGGAGCTTCTGCCAGGCCCTTTCAGTCTTGTTTTCCGTCACCTTTTGTTAAGAGTTTAATTTCTACAAAAAATACATTTCTGTCATCAGATACAGCCACAAATACTTAAAAAAAAAAGCGTTTTCAATCCCAGCATTGGTACGGTTTTTAAAATTTCAAGAGGAAAAGAAGCACAAAATGTGCCTTTTTTTAGGTGACCTTTTGTATGTGATCTTCTCTCCACCAATTTGTTAACTCAGAAATTATTAGAATATCTCTACAAAATCTTTCAAATCTTCCACAGAATTTATTGGAGTATAGAGGGACTATCGTCAGACTTTCCATGTGAGCTTTTTGCATACTTATAACATTCACCAAGTTGTGGAAAAAAACCAAGCATTCAAAATTCCTGTCTGTTTTTTTTGGGCATATGCACATTTCACAGCTGTTATTATAGACTACGAAGTTTCCGATATTGCTTGGTACTGCAGAACGAGTGAGATTTAGTTTTTGCTTTTACCTCATTTACTTTAGCACTGGAAAAATCTGTAGGGCACAGTAGGAATTATGCACATATACATGCATTTTGATGAATGCTCTCTAGCAGTAGAACTGCACGAGTTTCCATTAAGTTCCAATCCATTTAATCCTCAGCAGGAAAAGAAGGAGGCTGGCTGTTGAATAGCTGTGGGTAGAGCTAACTAAAAAATTTGTATTCTAATGTTTTCTAAAAAAATTTAGACAACAAAGTAAATACAATCTTTTTTAGAAAACTTCCATTTTAACACAGATTATTTAATTGACCAAACAATTGAAAACAGACTGTTCTCAATATTCTAGATTTTCACAGTTTTGGTAATTTGTGTGTGTGTGTGTGTTGGTTTATTTCTGTGTTTGGGGTATTTTTAAGTCTTTCAGAAACAAGCACTAGAATAATGTGATTTATGTTTAGAATGTGTTTTAGGAATATTTTTTTTAATTGCTATGGATCAGTATCCCTGAGTCTTATTTTGAAAGACAGGTGTCTGCCAAGGAAGGTGGGAATCTCTCTGGGAATGGAAAATGTGATCCCATTCCCTCCAAATTATTATAACTTTTGATATTAGAGGGCTGTCAGGCAAACTATGAGAAAAGGAATAACAGTTCTTTACTAGCGTGTGTAGATATGCATATACATATACATACGTAACAAGGCAAACAAACAACCACAACGGCAGCAACACCAAACAAAAGAACAGAAAGCCATTAAGAGGCTTCTCTGGGCTGCGGCACTGTCCCCTTTGATGCAGTTGCAGTCACAGCAGCGGCGCTGTTGGCTCCTGGCTGGGCAGGGCCGGTGCGATGATTCCCCCGAGGCTGCAGGGGGCGCTGCAGCATGGGGGCTAGCTGCCTCTGCACTGTTTAATGGCAGCACTGCTGGGGGAAGAGATAGAAAGGGGCTTCCTTTACAAACTCATGGGAGGCAGCTGGTCCCGGTGCCCCCCCAGATGGCAAAATG